GGGGAGTCCTAGAGGGTCTCTGCTCCCGGGTGTCATGTCACAGTGTAAGGCTTAAGACTCATTCTAACCATTTAACCCCTGCGTAGTTTTATTTTTTTAATTTACAACATGATTTTTTTAACGCTCTTTTTTTTAATTTACGCTGCAAAAAAACATCTGCATACAACTTAAAATGGCTTGAATCACGAGGTTTTATTCACAAAACATCACAACTTTGTAGAATCTATCATTTAAAGGTCCAATATTACGCAAAATTGAAAAAAGTGCACAGCTAAAAACAAAATCTAGTAGTTAAGACGACTTGAATTAAGAAAGTTTTATCATGATTTCAGTAAATTTCACTTGACGAGTTAAATTATCTGCCAGTGGAATGAGATTTTTTGATCTTAAAATATGAAAATTCATCTTGCTGCACTTAAAATAAGAAAAACAACAACTTTTTACACTTAAAATACGAAACAAAATCGAATTAACAAAAACAACTCTTACTCCATTGGTCAATAATTTTACTTTTCAAGTTGAATCGACTCAAATTAAGTAAAACGTTCTTAATTAAAGTCATTTAAATTTACCTAGATATTGTTTTTTTCCAGTGTGGTATAAAATTAAACGCTTAAACAAAAATCAAACAAATTTTTCACGAGTTATAAGTTACAAGTTAAACATTTGAGGATTATAAGTTTGGATATTTCTTAAAAAAATATTCAAATTCTACATCGTGAACACAGATTTTTACGTAAAACTTGTAAAAACTTCTCAAATTAAGTTATTAGTTTGAATTCAAGTCACTTTAACTCATCCGTAGTTTTTGTAATTTTCAGGCATGTTGACGAGTTCTGGTTTTAATTTCATTCGTCGTACGATGGAGCTTTTATTCTGCTGATACGTCGAGTTATATTTGATTTTTTATTTTTTATTTTTTCCCGTTTGGGGCCTGTTTCGTATTGTTGCCATGAGCGCTGCTTTGCTTTGTGCTTCGGAGCTCACTGCGGCGTTCGGTGCATGGACGCTGTGTTCATTTGGATTTTTAGATTTTTGGATTTGGAGCATGGCAAATGGAAAATGGCTGACTCATTTCATTTTTGTCGCTATTGAAATGAAAAAGTGATCAGTTTAAGATTTTTGCTGTTTTAGTCGTCTTCCCTGGAGCCTGATATTAATCTGTTATTAACTAAGAATCCAGACTTAAAGGTTCACTATGTAACTTTTCTTCTGCTTGTTGTTCTTTTGATTGGAATGTTCCACAGCAGGGGTCCCCAACCTCCGGGCCGATGACCGGTACCAAGCCGTTGGTCGTTTGATACTGGGCTGCGAAAGCGCGGACTGTCCCCCCTCCCATACACCGTGCGGACTGTCCCCCCTCAAACTAAACCAGAACTAAAACAGGTCTAAAAACAGGTCTGAAACAGGTCTGAAATGGGTCTAAAACAGGTCTAGAAAAGGTCTGAAGCAGGTCTGAAAAATCTAAAAGGTCTAGAAAAGGTCTGAAACAGGTCTAGAAAAGGTCTGAAACAGGTCTAGAAAAGGTCTGAAACAGGTCTAGAAAAGGTCTGAAACAGGTCTGAAACGGATCTAAAACAGGTCTAGAAAAGGTCTGAAACAGGTCTGAAACGGATCTAAAACAGGTCTAGAAAAGGTCTGAAACAGATCTAAAACAGGTCTAGAAAAGATCTGAAACAGGTCTAGAAAAGGGTCTAAAAAGGTCTAAAAGAGGTCAAAAAACAGGTCTGAAACAGGTCTGAAACAGGTCTAAAACAGGTCTGAAACAGGTCTGAAACGGATCTAAAACAGGTCTAGAAAAGGTCTGAAACAGATCTAAAACAGGTCTAGAAAAGATCTGAAACAGGTCTAGAAAAGGGTCTAAAAAGGTCTAAAAGAGGTAAAACAGGTCTGAAACAGGTCTGAAACAGGTCTGAAACAGGTCTGAAACAGGACTGAAACAGGGTCTGAAACTCATCTAAAAACAGGTCTAAAACAGGTGTAAAACAGGTCTAAAAGCAGGTTTAAAAACAGGTCTGTAAAAGGTCTAAAAACAGGTCTATAAAAGGTCTAAAACAGGTCTTGAAACAGGGTCTAAAACAGGGTCTGAAACAGGTCTAAAACAGGGTCCAAAACAGGTCCAAAACATGCCCAAAACATGCCTAAAACAGGTCTGAAACAGGGTCTGAAACAGGGTCTAAAACAGGATTTAGTCAGCACTTAACCATGCCACATGACCACGCAACCACCCCACCAACGAAATATTCTCTGATTCTAAAACCGGTCCGTGGTGCAGAAAAGGTTGGGGACCACTTTTCCACAGTATGGCATTAAACATCTGTCTAAATACCTTAAAGAAGATGCATTCTTTCTGTGATTGAGCTTGTCTCTCCCCAGATCTTACCTGACACTAGACCCGGTTAGAGTCACATTTTTGTCTCTGTATCGAAAGGAATACGTTTAATGCCATATTGTGGAACATTCCTAACAAAGCAACTGGTGATGCAGCTTCTACCAGTAAAAGTTACATAGTGCTCCTTTCTTGGTTTTGATTAGTTATGTTATGAAAGTGGGACTAAACACCTAAAATCTGGTCTTACAAGTCTCCACACTGCAAACTTCAGCTGCGCAGCCCGGTGTTTGTATGAGAAACATCTAGCTGTAATCAGAGCAGTCCTGGGTGATGTCACATAGTACTTGAAATCACTTCTAGAGGCAGCACACAATCAGTTTTTGACTCTTTGTGAAGACAAAAGCTTCAAATGTACCTAGTTTCTACTGAAATGGTCAAAAGAACCTGGTAGAAACAGTAGGCAATGTTATTAAAACACCGTTCAGCAGCCGATTTAGTGTTTAGTTCCACTTTAAAGTTAATCTTCAAGGCTTAAAAAGGTAGATTTGCTTCTCTGATTGCTTAAATATATGTTTGTATTTCTTTATTCTGGGTCTTATTTCTTATTTCACAAAGTAATTATTGTATTGATCAGTGAATTCTGCTGTTGTAAGTGTTTGTCTGTGTATTTGTGTTTTCTTCTTCTCAGTCTCTTCTAATCGTTCTGGTGTTTCTTTGGTTGTTTTGTTTTTTTGTATCTCGGCGGCTCAGGGCTCAGTGGAGGAGGACCACATAGCCCTGCTCCAGAGCTCTCACGCTGCAGCTGCTCAGTCTCAGGTCTGCTCTGCCTGCTCCAGTGTGACCCTCCACCTCCCGCCCTCCACCTCCCACCTACCCCCACAAATCTCCCCTTTCAATACCCCCACGCAAACACACTTAGGCCTGTCACAAGTGCAAAGTCTTAAAGATGCAGTAGAGCTCAACAGTTCCACAAACTTGGTCCTGGAAGTACATTTTCTATTCATTTTTGCGTAGACTTTTCGAAGTATATTGAAATACGAACCGCCAAAATGCATTTCTGACCTTAAAGCGCCCTTATTATGCTATTTTCTGATCTCTTATAGTGCTTTTTCCTCATTAAAAACATCTCCAGAGTTGTGTTTTGTTTCATTCACACATGTTTAGCGCACAAAGTTCTTCTCTCAAACTGAAAAAAACTGTGTTCCAGCTTTGTGTTTTTAAACTCCACGCACGTTCACTAGAATCATTTGGATAATTTCAGCGCTCAAATTGCCGAACTCTACTGAACTAAAGGTAAAAGGTGTTAACTTTGAACTGCTTCATGACATCGCAAGGTGGAACAGAGCGTTTTTCAGTTTGAAGATGTACAGACTAATAATAAAGAGTTACTCAAACATGTGTGAGTGAAACAAAACACACCTCCAGGTCTGTTTTTGAGGAGGTAACGACATTATAACACGACTTAAAGTTCACAAGAGTCAAGTTTGTATAATGACCGTTACAAATTGTGTTTTTTATTTACCGTATTTTTCGGACTATAAGGCGTAATATCAATAATGCTGAATTCACTTGTCTATTTTCATGTATAAATTGCACAGGATTATAAGGAGACTGATCCTTAGCCCAGGCGTCCACGATCCATCGGCAGATCGTGGCATAATTCACGTTTCCTCCCTGTCTTGGTGAATGTGGATTATGATTTTAAGTTTGTTTTTCTATTTCTTAAGAGGACGACTCAAATATACATTGAATAATAATGTGTTTAATGCAGCTTTGCGCACATTTGTTTACGTTTTACAGAAACAAAACTTAAAACCACATGGCTCATTTGCACAAACTATAAGCGCTGAAAAAAAACAGCTCGCTCCTTATGCGGTTCAGTTTCTGTCTGACTAACCACGTGAGGATCCTGACTACAGTCGCCGTAATGCTCCGACAATCCATCAAGCGGTGCGGTTTCGTAGTTTACCAAAGCTGTACTAAAATAGTTTTGACAGATTTTTGAGCTCCGTGTACTACATAAAATTGGTTCGAGGTCAGTAAACACAACCAGAATTAATACATAAGTTTTTTGAGTAAAGTAAATAATTTTAAGTGCACCTTATTGTCCGAATATTATGGTATCTGCAGTTCATGTTAGAGCCCATATTGACAAATTGTATTATTATGTCAAAATAATGTAGTAATAATTGTGACAGGCCTAAAATTCCTCCTGAACCCCCCTCTCCCACCAACCCCACTGCTGTTTTTGCCTGGAGTGCAGTGTTTGTGTTCACGTTTGTTCATATTTTTTGTGTTTTTGTGTATTTTGTTTTCAATTTTCTGATAAATTGAAATAGTATTCCTGTACAATTTGAGCAACTGAGGTGGAGTTACTGGTGGATTTGGTTTTAGATTGCATTTTTGACACATTTTAACAAGTTTTCTAACAAAATACGACATGTTTTTTGCTAGAATTTAACAAGAAACATGTAAATAGTACCTCTCCTCAGTTCTCAAACCTATTTTTACATTTGCACCCGAGTTTGTTTTTGAAGTTTGACATGTTTTTGCTCCACAGACATCGCTCCACTCTGCTCCAAGTTTGCCGCATGCACCCAAGTCCTTCTCCTTTATTTTCAACACGATAAAACTGGTATTTATTTTGTTTTTTTTTGTGTTGTTGCAGGTGAAGACAGAGGAGCAGATAGCAGCGGAGCAGGCCTGGTATGGATCTGAAAAGGTGTGGCTGGTTCATAAAGATGGATTCTCTCTGGGTGAGTTTGTGATTTTTAAAAATATGTTGTTGTGTGGTTCGTTTTAAAAGCCCGGATTACTCTGTTTTCTGTTGTTTCTCAGTCAAAAACAGACCTGGAGTTGTGTTTATGCCGTGTATCATTCGTTCAATCTTTTTCAAAATAAAACCAAAAAAATAAGAACATGGAAAGCAACAATTTTCTTCATTATTTGTCAGTTTTCGATTTTTGTGTTTAAATGAATAATGGAAAAAACAGATAACAGCCGTTTCCAGTTTCCGTGACTTAAACTGTGATGCCGGTCTGAACTAGGACTAAAACAGGACTAAAACAGGGCTAGACAGGACTAAACAGGACATTCTTAGTCCTTGTCTGGTCCCTTTCTCAGTCCCGGTCTTAGTCCCGGTCTAGTTCTGGTCTCAGTCCCGGCCTCAGTCCCGGTCTGGTCTCGGTCTCAGTCCCGGCCTCAGTCCCAGGCTCAGTCCCGGCCTCAGTCCTAGTCTGGTCTCGGTCTCAGTCCCGATCTAGTCCCGGCCTCAGTCCCGGCCTCAGTCCCGGCCTCAGTCCCGGCCTCAGTCCCGGCCTCAGTCCCGGCCTCAGTCCCGGCCTCAGTCCCGGTCTCAGTCCCGGCCTCAGTCCCGGCCTCAGTCCCGGCCTCAGTCCCGGCCTCAGTCCCGGCCTCAGTCCCGGCCTCAGTCCCGGTCTCAGTCCCGGTCTCAGTCCCGGCCTCAGTCCTGGTTCTGGTCCCGGGCTGGTCCCAGTCTCAGTCCTGATCACCTGACAGTCTACGCGGGTGTAGTCCTGGGTTAGACCTGGTTTAGACCTGGTTTAGTCCTAGATACTGTATCATCACATTAAATTATACGATATATTGATATTTCAATAGTTAAATATTTTTGCACACCCGTAATTTTCAAAAACCTCAAATTGGTCAAAATTCAGAATGAAAATTTTTGCAGTGAAAATTTTCGCAACAAAAATCCAAGATGCCAAGGCCTAAATAATAGATCCAACGTGGTCCGAGTAACAACCAGCAAGTTTATTTGTACAGCACAATTCGTACACAAAGTAATTCAACGTGCTTTACAGAATAAGAAACAGATTAAAATCACAATAAAAACAAATCAAAACGTGTGAATTTTGACTGTTGAATTTGTGCTGAATATTTAAAAGGTGAATTTTTTAATATTGAAATCTTAGACACACACAAATTCATCAACTGAATTTCAGAATAAAAACAATTCAGACATGTTTTTTCAGTTTTAAAAAATTCAACGCATATCCAGTCCATACAAAGATCTAATACTTGACTATTTAAATTTCTTCCCAGCTCTTCATGTGTCTCATATGTTTAAATTGTTTTTGGTTTTTTTGTGCTTTCTCAGCCACCGTAGTGAAGACCGACCCCGGCGCTCTGCCCGAGGGAAAAGTGAAAATCCGTCTGGAGCACGATGGAGCGATTCTGGACGTGGACGAGGACGACATCGAGAAGGTGATGGTTTGATTTCAGTTTGAAGTTTTAAATATAATGTCTCGTTAGTTTTGTGTATTCATGGTTTATAGAATATTAGCTCCTTGTTCTTATACACAAAACAGAACAAACTGCTATTTTCAGATCATTCACTTTGTCTCAGTTCAAAATCCTTCAGCTGTCTTAAAAAACTGGGTTCTTAAACTTTAGCTTCTTGAAAAAGGTAAAATAACTCTACAAAATATTTTTCAGCATAGCCAATGACTACTTTGGGGATTTGAATATAAGATATAAAAAAATCTATATTTTTATTAAGTAAGTCTTTAAGAAAGTCTTTATTTATATAGCGCTTTTCACAGACATTTTGTCACAAAGACGCTTTACAGAGCATTATTCATTCACTCTATACCTATTATGTCTATTAATACTTTTTAAAAATTAATATTTATGTATTTATTCATTTAGTTTTCAGTAGGACAGTGTACATTAATAAACATTACAATAATGTAAATGCCAAATAATAATAGGCTCCCTAAAAGTTAAAAAGTTCAAGTCAAGTTGTTAAAATACAAATAACAGTCAAATACACAGTTATATAGTTACTGTATTTTTTGGACTATACGTTGCTCCGGAGTATAAGTCACACCAGCCAAAAAATGGATAATGATGAAGAAAAAACATAAATAAGTCGCACTTTTTTGGGGACATTTATTTTATAAAATAAGAGCCCAGGAACCGACATTTCCTGTTGAAAGTCAAGTTCTAGTAAACACAGTAGAAGAGAGAACAACAGACTGTTAATGTCACATATGAACAGTTCTTCAGATAAACTTTAACATAAAAACAGAACAGAGCAAGTTTAACAAACTCTCCATCTCACTCCAAATCACTAAATCCATTCAATTCTTCATCCTCGGTGTCACTTCTGAACAACTCGGCCTCGACCTCCGGAGGTAAACAGAGCGCCGCTTCCTCTTCTGTGTCGCTGTCGTCAGACTTGGCATCAGTTCCAGTGAGAATTATTCCGGACTTTCTGAATCCCAACAGGATGGTTTTGGTCGTCTTAATAAGTTTGTTTAAATGTTAAATTGTTCAGTGGTGCAGAAGTAACGGTGCGATCGACTGACATGATACAGACAGGACAGAGGCTCTTTCTGCAGGAGACATGTGCAGTAGAGCCAAGTGACAGTGGTGCAGGAAGAACAGGAGCAGCAGATACTCACACACAAGACTAGAACCTTTTAATATATAAGTCGCACCAGAGTATAAGTCGCAGGAAACACCCAAACCATGAAAAAAGTGCCACTTATAGTCCAAAAAATACAGTACATGATTACTACATAATTCCAAATATCTCACTTCTGTTTGGATCAAATCTAGAAAGCAGTAAAAAATAAATAATAAATAATAATAATAATAATAATAATAATAATAATAATAATAATAATAATAATAATAATAATAATGATGATGATGATGATGATGATGATGATGATGATGATGATGATGATGATGATGATGATGAGATAAAAACATGAAAAAAACGCTGAATGAGATGGTGTGTCCACACTTTTGACTGGCAGTGTCCAATACCTGCTAAAGCTCATCCCGTTCGCTCAAACTGGTGACTGATACGGAGCAAAGCATCATGGTCTGTGTAGTTTCTGACCCTTCTCTCTCTGTCTGTCCTGCGATTCTCAGGCGAACCCTCCCTCGTACGACCGCTCCGAGGACCTGGCCTCTCTGCTCTACCTGAACGAGTCCAGTGTGATGAACTGTCTGCGTCAGAGATACGGAGGAAACCTGATCCACACCTACGCCGGACCCAACACCGTGGTCATCAACCCCCTGAGCACCCCGTCCATGTACTCGGAGAAGGTCAGAGTCACACACAGCTGCCAGACTCTCTATTGAAACGCTTAGATTACCCTAAATTTACTCTTAACTCTTTCCCCCCTGGACGCCTACTAGGTACAACCCATACATATGTTACTAGGGCTACACCCATAGAGCATAATTGCATAAAAGAAAACAGACTTCCACGAGTGATTATAAATGATTTTTACACTCATGAACTTAATTGTAACACAGACATATTTGTATCTCTGGAAACCTTAGACTCTGAACTATTCATTTATGGATGTTTAAATGTGATTCAACTCATTTATAGGTGTATAACAGCTCACTGAAAATGAGAGTTTACCTGGTCAGGTGCAAACTCGAAAACAAAAAACTACATTCAGCATCTGATATCTGCATGTTCTGAGTACTATATTCATAAAAAAATAAAAAATATACTTTGTCAAAGTATTTAAACAGATTTCATATCACCAGATACAGTAGAGCCAAGTGTGCACCTGTTTTTACCTGTTGTACACCTGTGTGCACCTAATAATTTTTTTCCATTTAACTTATTCAACTCATTTAGCTTATTCAACTAATTTAGCTTATTATAATATAATAATATAATAATAAAACTCTTCCCTGTCAGTGTGTGTCCAGTATTTGTCATCTTGGTTATTTTCTCGTGCGCAGAGCTCCGCATAAGCGTTTTTTCTGTAGCGATTCTGTTATACATCGCATCTTGGAAAAAAAGACTGAAATATTTTAAAGGACTGGCCTGGGCAACATCCAGATTTCAGGGCAATTTTGGTTCATAATCGAGTATAAAGCTCAGATAGTTTGTTCGGATATCGCAGGACTCCACACAGACGCATCAGCGGCATTCTCACCTTCTCCCTGAAAGTCCGTCACTGTCGCTGTTTTCCACTTTATAATCAACTTCAACATCATCACTTTGAAATCTATAAAAGTCACTTTCTCTAAACTTATCCATAAAATACGTCCGCTCCTCATTATTTCTAAAACTGTGCGCCGCAGCGCCGCGATCTTTCCATTGCACGTGTTTCGTGTTGTGTTTTTTCCGGAAGCTACCATCGTCACTATTTCGATTAACTTCGGAAAAAATCGGCGAAAACATATCCTTGAATCCTATTGGTCAGTCTAGTGTGGGTTGTAGTGGCTCCCACCGATCACAGTCTCTGTTTAAATGTGAAAAACCGAGCCGTTTCTAAAGGTCGTCAAATCTCGTCTTTAGTGAAACGGCGGAGGTGTCAAAAGTCGTCATTAAGGGTTCAGGGGGGTCATCAAATGTCGTCTTCATGGGGGAAAGAGTTAAGAGCTTTAAATCATGTTATAAAACTGTTAAATCCTCAAAAACAGACCTGGACTTGTGTTTTGTTTCAGTCACACGTCTGAGTAACTCTGCATCAATTAACTCGTGCAGTTAATCGAATTGTGATCGTGATTTTGATTTGTGTATCAAACAACGATCTCCAAACTCAAATAATCAAGTTGAAACCATTTAACAAAGTTTATTGTGGGATATTTTTATAAATAAGTATATAACCCTTTATGCACCAGAGTTTTTTCCTAAAACGTTCAATTTTGACGTCTTAGTCCTGGTTTAGTCAGACCTGGTTTAGTCCTGGTTTAGTCAGACCTGGTTTAGTCCTGTTTTCATCCTAGTTTAGTCCAGTTTTAGCCCTGGTTCAGCCCTGGTTTAGCCCTGGTTTAGTCCTGGTTTAGTCCTGGTTTAGTCCTGGTTTAGGGCTGGTTTTGTCCTGGTTTAGTCCTGGTTTAAGCTTGGTTCAGTCCTGGTTCAGTCCTGTGTCCTATTTTCATCCTTGTTTAGTCCTGGTTCAGACCTTCATCTATTTTATCAAAGCAGCATCTTGTCAACTTAAATCAACAATGGAGGGTTAATATAGAGAGAGATTGTAGAACAGCTGTATATATACTTTATTTTGGAAACATTTATGTTTTTCAAAGCTTTATTTCATGTCCAAAGTATATTTTATTATTCATTTTATGTTTTATACATCGCAGAACTGCTCTAAGGTACACATTTGTAGCCTATATTTTGTGTAAATTATCAGTAACAAAGTGTTTTTTTGAGAGAGAAATGCTGAATAAATGCATCGTGTAACTAAAATAATAATCGTGATTTCAAAATTGACCAAAATAGTCACGATAATGATTTTTTCCAGAGTCTAATCCTGCATTATTAATCTGTCTACATCTCCAGTTCCACCTTGCAATGTCATGTAGTGGTAGTTTTCAAGTTAACAGCTCCTTTTTACGTTTCGTTCAGTCGAGATCGGCAATTCCAGGTCTGAAATTATAAAAATGATTCTAGTGAAAGTGTGTGAAGTTACTCAAACACGTGTAAATGAAACAAAACACAACTCCATGTCTGTCTGTGATGAGGTAACAACATTATAAAGAGTTGAAACTTTAAATTAATTTCAGTATTATCGTTTATTGTTTATATTTTATTCAGTAATCTTATCACTACCTGTGTTAGGTCTGCCTAAACATTGTAAACAAGAAGAAAGACAAGAGATTAATTAAGTTTTACTCGCGAGGAGAACGGGCAGAGAGCGGGCATCAAAACCAACAGTCTCCACACGTTCTGATGCCTCAAGGCCGTTCTCCTCTTTTTATTTCATTAGGAGGCCCTAGTTACAGAACGATAATTCTCAAGGGGAAGGGGAAACAGCAAAGACATAATAAGAAACTGATGAAGCTATGCATAGTAAAAACAGGAGGTGCCTTAGGTCAGACACCATCATAACTCTTGCATGTGTGACAGTGGGAGTTGGCTTCATGTGAGGAATCATCTCGAGGTTCACTAGAGCGACAGGACACTGCACACAGTTGTCAAACACAAAGAGGTTATTCATTTTCATACAAGTGATTGGTACATTATAAATCAAAGAATTGTAGTTACATAAATGGTTAACTCATAGGCATAGAATATCACACAAGTATTTAGCAAATATGGGATAATAAAATTATTCTGACAACCTGCCTCCTCTCTGTCTCCCCCTGGTGTTCAGGTGATGCACATGTTCAAAGGCTGCCGGCGCGAGGACATGGCTCCTCACATTTACTCCGTGGCGCAGACGGCCTACAGGAACCTCCTGACCACGAGGCAGGACCAGTCCGTCGTCCTGCTCGGAAAATCGGGAAGCGGGAAAACCACCAACTGCCAACACCTGGTGCAGTACCTGGTCTCCATCGCGGGAAGCACCGGCAAGATCTTCTCAGGTGAGGGACAGAGCTGTTGCCAAAATGAAACGTCTGGACTGAAAGATATGATCTAACACAGTGTTTCTCAAACTAGACTAAACTGAACTTTATTTAGAAACCGTTTAATTCACTTTTGGGACCTGCTTTGGGTAATTTCTTGGTTAGACCTGGCAGCCGTCACGTTCCAGAGAGGAAGTGTGCACGGGCGCGCTTTAGTTCACTTTCTATTGAAAAACCGTCAGCTCTCTCCGTAACTGCTTCCTAAATAAAGTTGTGGGACAAGATCTAGCGAGACAAAATTGCCAAAAGATCGTGCGCAAATGAGGAAAAATGATCTCGTCTTGTGAAAATTGACACACCTTAACACATCGGTAATATCACAGCTTCAGAACTTTCAGCACAAAAAATCTGGTTTCCTCGGGTTTAAGCCCTGGTTTAGACTTTGAGTAGTCCTAAAGAAGCTACCTATTAGTGTTGTAGTTCTCGAGACCGGTCTTTGTCTCGAGACTGGCCTCGAGACAGTTTATTTCTGCGATCTTGGTTTCGTCTTGGACTCGAGCTCATTTGGTCCTGTCTCAGTCCTGAAGGCACTTGGACTCTCGTCTTGTCTCGGACTCGAGGTTTGAAACTCGACGAGTGCGATCATGTTTCATTACGGCCACTTTCTTCACTTTCAAGCAGTTTTCTGTAAAGTGCCAGTGGAAGTGAAATTAATAAAAACACTGATATAGATATGTGCCAAAATAACTGTAAAATACAAATAAATGTCGAAACTGGTGGTCTCGATTTGGTCTTGATGGACCATGGTCTTTGTCTTGTCTCGGTCTCGACCTTTAAAATTCTCGGCCTTGTCTTGGTCTTAACCCTCAGTGGTCTCGGTCTTGTCCTGGTCTTGACCCCCAAAGGTCTCTGGTCTTGTCCTGGTCTCGACCTTTAAAAGTCTCGGTTTTGTCCTGGTCTTGACCCCCAAAGGTCTCGGTCTTGTCCTGGTCTTGACCCCCAAAGGTCTTGGTCTTGTCCTAGTCTCGACCTTTAAAAGTCTCGGTTTTGTCCTGGTCTAGACCCCCAAAGGTCTCGGTCTTGTCCTGGTCTCGACCTTTAAAAGTCTCGGTCTTGTCCTGGTCTTGACCCCCAAAGGTCTCGGTCTTGTCCTGGTCTTGACCCCCAAAGGTCTCGGTCTTGTCCTAGTCTCGACCTTTAAAAGTCTCGGTCTTGTCCTGGTCTAGACCCCCAAAGGTCTTGGTCTTGTCCTAGTCTCGACCTTTAAAAGTCTCGGTCTTGTCCTGGTCTAGACCCCCAAAGGTCTCGGTCTTGTCCTGGTCTTGACCCCCAAAGGTCTCGGTCTTGTCCTGGTCTTGACCCCCAAAGGTCTTCGGTCTTGTCCTGGTCTTGACCTTTAAAAGTCTCTGTCTTGTCCTGGTCTTGACCCCCAAAGGTCTTGGTCTTGTCCTGGTCTCGACCTTTAAAAGTCTCTGTCTTGTCCTGGTCTTGACCCCCATAGGTCTTGGTCTTGTCCTAGTCTCGACCTTTAAAGGTCTCTGTCTTGTCCTGGTCTTGACCCTCAGAGGTCTTGGTCTTGTCCTGGTCTCGGGAGCCTGTTGTCTCGGACTGGTCTCTGTCTCGATTAGTCCGGTCTTGACTACAACACTTCTACCTGTATATTTCTCTTCTCTGTTTCACTGGAGAAGATTTTTTGGCCAGTCTCCAGTTCTTGTATTTATTATTTATTTCTGTTGTGTGTTTCTCAGCGGAGAAGTGGCAGGCGGTGTACACGATCCTGGAGGCGTTCGGAAACAGCTCGACCTCCATGAACTCGAACGCCAGTCGCTTTTCTCACGTCGTGTCTCTGGACTTCGACCAGGCCGGGCAGGTCTCCTCTGCCTCCATACAGGTAACTCGCAGTAATGAAGAGTGTGATCGAGAGGAAAAACCTGTGCCCCGTGTGAGAGTGCGACACTATCACACTCAAGAATCAGACAAAAAACACCAACAGTTTGTGTTCACATTGTAGAATTTGGTCATGTTTTAATCTCAGACAGAAGAAAGGGTTTTTTCAAGCCTAAACCTAATATTTCCTGTGTGTGTTCAGACCATGTTACTGGAGAAGCTCAGAGTGAGTCGCCGTCCTGATTCTGAATCCACCTTCAATGTTTTCTACTTCCTGTTGGCCGGAGCCGACAGCACCCTCAGGTCTGCGCCTTAGTTATTAAAACAATCACTCTTTTATTTGTATTCATACTGTAATTTATTTTATATTTTTATTTACAGAACTGAGCTCCATTTGAACCACTTTGCGGAGAACAGCACCTTTGGGATCCTTCCACAGACAAAGGTACAAACTTGAGTCAATAAGTGTTTAATATATGATTTATCTAAGCACTAAGCAACGAGGATTTGTTCGTTATGCAGTTTTAATGTACACCACCTCCACGAAGTGTGTTAAAACTGCACAAAAGCACGGCTCCAAGTTGTTCAGATGTGCTTATACTATGGCTATAAACTGAAATCTCTCACCTGTCAATATAAAAAGCCTGTTCCCTGTCTGCAAATGTCTCCAAATTGTTATTTCAGGGTTTTAAATGAAGCTAGTCCCTACCTAGTCATTAATTTACTATGGAAAATAAAACATAATATGATCAGTTTAAAGAAATATTTATGTAGAAATGTGATGAAGCCTGAAGTGTTTTTTATATTTGGATATTTTAATTTTTTTTTTTACTCTATAGTTCGACTTTAAAGCTGAACTCTGTAGGTGTAGAGGTGGAGACTTGCAAATTGTGACTTGGACTTGAGCCAGACTTGAGTCACTATTTTTAGGACTTAAGGCTACGTTTATACGATGACGATCTGAACAGAAGATGCAAAAGTGTCGTCGCGTCTTCACTTTTTAATCCGGGTTTAGACGAGTGTTGTCGGGAGGAAATCTGTGTGCATACGGTGACGCAAAAGTGTCTGGAATTGGATTGGGTATGCACGCCATCCGACATGTTTCTGTGTACTGTAGGTTTGTGACGTAAACGCGTACACGACCTGAGCAGATCTGACCAGAGTTTTGCTTCTTGAGCAGTGTAGACGGAAACGCTACGGCGGAACGTATTCAACTTTTCCACTCTGGAGGGTGGTTTCAGATGTTTGCGTTTTTAAGACCCAAAACTCCCTCACCGTCTAAACCAGGGGTCTCAGACTCGCGGCCCGGGGGCCAACTGCGGCCCTCGGAAGAATTTTTTGCGGCCCTCCACTTAATTCCAAAGAATAATGTCAGTGCGACCACAGTAGATGTAAGCACAATCCCACCCCCGACCGCGGGCCGCACTGACAGATGAAGCTGCAATCGGTGCCCATACAGATTCACAACAACAGATTATTAACACAGCTTATATCCCAAAACTCAATTTACAGCAGTTGTGAAGCAACGAGTCTAAGTGGATCTGTTAATACGAGTACATGTGCACATACAGAGTTTTTTTTTTTTTCATGCAACCGCGATTTATCGAATACTCAATGCGGCCCAGCCTCACTCAGACTTTATCTAATGTGGCCCCCAGGTAATTTGAGTTTGAGACCCCTGGTCTAAACGAAAGGCACTTCTGATAAAATATTTTGCAGTTTTTACCCGCAAGCGTTCTCCTGTAAACAGGCCCTGAGACTTGACTTGATAAAAGACTTGGGACTTGACTCGGACTTGAAGACTTGAGAAGCACTTTTAAATCTGAATTCTTTCTGTTCTGACCGTAATGATTCACACTAAAATCTTGTCAAGACATTTTAAAAGTTAAAATTAGCATTTCTAGAACTCTTATTTACTCTGTAAATACTCATATATAAATATACTATGATTTTTTTCAAGTACAATTTAGTTTAACCCATTGACGCCGGATGCTGCTCGGCGCAGCACTGAGTCTCCTGTCGGTGTCCGGATTGTCTAGCGATCAGCGTAACTGGTAAAGGCGGAGCCACATCTGGAAGCATGGGGGGCGTGTCCTCTCGCTTCCATTCACTCCCATAGAGACGCAAAACTGCCGGAGCTGTACTGTCGCGTTAAACCTTCTTTATCGTAGCGTATTATTTCCCCATTGAAAAATAATCCAAATGTTTCCCGAACATGTTTCCATCAAGACCTGGTTTGAAGTAACAAACGTTGCTCTTTACTGCAGCGCATGAACGAGCTCAACCACTTGATCTGGTCGCTGTTCCAGACGCTCCTATAACAGGTGCCATATCGCTATGTCGTGTAACAAATAAACATTGTCAAGCGCAAAAATGTTGTCCGTGTCTTCACTGTCATTGTCACTGTCAGCATTTTTGCATTCATACTGTGGAACATTCTAGGCAAAGCAATGACATCTCCATGCAGAAAAGTTCCCTAGTGCCCCTTTATCAAACAGTTAACTCATTTATAAACTGATTTTTCTGCGTTTTGTTTCCAGACCGAGGATAAACAGCGCTCGTCTCAGCAGTTCACGAAGCTCCAGGCCGCCATGAAGGTGCTGGGCTTCTCCTCCGATGAGCAGAAGGCGCTGTGGCTCATCCTGGGAGGAATCTATCACCTGGGAGCCGCCGGAGCCACCAAAGGTAAAAAACTAGTAATTGTATTTTAAAGGTGCACGACGAAACTTCTAAGATGGAGGGTTTGCTACTCGCTTTGTCTCCGTTTGCCTGGAATATTACGCAGTTTACGGCTCAAAAACACCTTAAAAACACAAATTCTTATCACGTGCAGACTTGCTTTTCCATAGATCTGACCGTTAACTTGTCTCCAATGTGATTACCAAGTTTATTTCCATACTGTGCAATAATCCAAAGCAGGCAAATAAGTGGCAGACGCTCCAGAAAAGCCTTTAACTGTAACTGAATGTATTTAAATATACAATATAGTGCTGAAGGGGAGTTTGTATTAACCAGTAAAGCATGTGATTTTACTACTAACAACTCACTATACACACATTTTTTTACTGAAATCTAATTAGTGCACACAGTAATGGAAAGTAGGACTGTCAAAAGAAGCAAAAATCAGATCCTAATCGATTCTAAAACTAAAAAAAGTCCCATTCTCAGGACAGAAATGAAGCTTTCCTGAAGTTTTAGAGCAGGTGTGTCAAACTCAAATTCACAGAGGGACAAAATTAAAAACTGGGACTAAGTCATGGGCCAAACTAAATATTTATTGAGAAATTGCAACTTCATCTGCAGTGTTTTCTCTTCTTTCAAGATATGTAATGTTAAACCTTTACATATTAAAATAAATGTTTAATAATAGTTTTGTTAAACACGAATTCAGAACAAGCAAAATATAAAATAATAACATTTTAAATAAATAATGTCTCTATAGTGTATATATAGTCAAATATAATTATATCTTGGGCCTTTAGAATGATCTTGAGCTGGATAAGAGCACATAGACTAGTAGACGCCCATGGACCTGGTTTAGACCTGGTTTAGACCTGATTTAGTCATGGTTTAGTCATGGTTTAGTCCTGGTTTAGACCTGGTTTAGACCTGGTTTAGACCTGGTTTCGACACAGACCTAGTGGTTTAGACCTGGTTTAGACCTGGTTTAAGACCTGGTTTAGACCTGGTTTAGACCTGGCTTCAACATAGACCTGGTTTTAGTTTAGACCTGGTTTAGTCATGGTTTAGACCTGGTTTAGACCTGGTTTAACCTGGTTTTTAGACCTGGCTTCAACATAGACCTGGTTTAGACCTGGTTTAGACCTGGACTAGACCTGGCTTCAACACAGACACAGACTTTTTTTAGGCCTGGTCTAGTCATGGTTTAGGCCTGGTTTAGTCATGGTTTAGATTTGGTTTAATCCTGGTTTAGACCTGGTTTAGACTTGGGTTAAACCTGGTTTAGACCTGGACCACTGAGGGATTACACAGATATAAGGCCACATGAGAATATAAAACAAAATACTATGATTTAATGTTTAAAATCACAATCTGTTGTCAAAATAAAGAGTGAAATCGAGTTTGAAATGTGACAACATGAGTTCCAGTAATGAATACGAACAAATCTTTATTAAAAATGCTACAGTAAATACATCAATCTATGTAATGAGGCACTCTTATTATTGTGATTTCAAGTTGTTTTCTTAAAGCTTCACTATGAAACTTTTTGGTTGGTGTCCGTAATTTTCTTGTTTCTAAGGAGATGTTATTGCTTTAGCTGACATTAAACAGCTCGACTTTACATTTATTCACTTACAGGTGATTTTATAGCTTAAAAATACCTAAAAAACTGACATTCTAACTGTGAGTGGGGTCGCCTCTCCACAGATCTGACCTGTAACGTGGTCTAATTTGGGTTCCATGAAAATAGAAAGGTTTAATACCATACTGTACATACCCTCCACCAGAAAAGTTACATAATGCGCTTTAAAACAGATAAAAATGACGCATGTGTTCCTTTTGTGTCCAGTAGGGGTCAGTGTTGCTACGTGAGTGTTTCCTCCTCTGAGCAGCTGCTGTTTGTCTTGGTGTGAAATGGCCTGTTTTATGGCCCAGACTGCGAGACAAAAGTGTCAGGCAAAATAAAACACAACACAAAACACCCATCAGTACAAGGGGGTGCATTTAACTAAAACAACAAAAAAGAGAAAGGAGTCTTCAAAAATACACTCGCTTCGACGTGTATTCATTAAAGTAACGTGCGGATGGTAAAGAGTGATAATGAAAGGACACAAACAGTTTTAAATCGGATTAATTCAAGTTGCAATTCGGTTTCTCTTGGTTTTTAAAAAGAAGTTCAGTCTAGAAATAAACAGAAAAAGGACTAAGGTGCATTGTGTAACATTTCTGATCAAATTCAAATGCTTTTCTTCACGTAGATATTATTGATTTGTCTGGAATGTTTCACAGTATGGCGTTAAACATTTCTATCTCCACGGAGACCAAACTAGACCAAGTTACAGGTCAGATCTGTGGAGAGGCGACCCCGCTCACAGGCCCCGTCCACACTAGTATAACTTTATGTATTCGAGTCGTTTTCTTTGTGGACGCAGTGTTCGTTCGCACTAATCCGACGGAAAACGGCTCCAGAGACGGAACGATCTGGTGCCGTCAGCTCCCACGAGTACAGATCTGATCCGGCGCTGTGTGGACGCCTGAAAACGCTGATACGCTCATGTAGGTTGATGCGCCGCGAAGTAATTCACCGTCAAAACGCTAAGAGGCTAGAATATATGTCCATTCATATAAACTGTCTTTGTGTACGACCTGGAGACGTATAATCTCTGAAAAGTTTAACATGAATCATCTCCAACGTGACAGAAACACAGAACAGAGTCACCATCAGTCACAGAAAGAACACTCATATTCCACTGCGTTGTGTCCTTTTGTGCGACAGAAACTGAACCGGATCATTGACACCAAGAGCGCTTATGGTTTATGCAAATGAGCCATGTGGTTTTAAGTTTAGTTTCTGTAAAATGTAAACAAATGTGCGCAAAGCTGCTTTAAACACATTATTACTCAATGTGTATTTGAGTTCTCATAGGAAATAAAAATCCAAACTTAAATTATCTATCCAAGGCGAACCAAAAATACTGGCTGCTTCTGTGTTCTCATTTTATCATGTATACCAGTCTCATCAGCCGTGATAGAAACTTTTCTTTTCTTGGATTCATCCATCATTTACCTACCATGGGTCGAAAAGCTCAAAAAATCGTGCTGCCGGTGTAGGACCTGGTAAATCCGGGCTGTGCTGGGTTTTGACGCATATTTTGAGCTACAAAAATATTACAGTATTTTCCACACTATTAGATGCTCTGGATTATAAGGCGCACTGTCATGGAATGGTCTATGGTCTATATCCCGAGTTTGCAGCGAACATTTTATATGTGGAGCGACATCAAAGCAAAATCCCATTTGTTAATGGAGAGGAGCAGAAGACAAACAGACTGAGCTGCACTTTCTTGTTCTTGTGGTTTTACAGCAACATCACGTCTTGGTCTCTTTGCAGTGGAAGGTGTTTCTTGGTGAACAGTTGGTGCCTTTCGCTTTGGCGTTGACTTTTTAAATTCGTAACCAAGGTTGAGCGAGGGATCGGGGTTTTGCTTTGTTGTCGCTCCACATATAAAATGTTCGCTGCAAACTCGGGATGATTTAGACAGTCAAATGTTTCCTTTTTCGTCCTTCCGTGGATCAATCCTGCCCATCTTCTTCGCCTTTCACTATTTTTCAATTCCGCTGGGAAGGGAAACAGTTTGAACAGAGGTTTTCAGTCACACACATCTGATTCCCTTTTGCATTTATGGAGTTCGCAAACAAATTTCTCGAGCCGTTTTCCGCTGTTAGGATCCAACAACCACACAGTTAACGATGTCCGAATCCCAAAACTAAAATATGACAATATCAGAACCAGAAACAAAATCGATATGGTTCAAAAGACTTGAAAAGATCGAATTTGTCAATAGACGCATCCCACTGGGAAAACAAACACAGCGGTTTGATGCTCACTTTTTCAGAAAATCCTTCCCAGTGTGCATTGCGCGATGACCGGAAGTCTGAAATTCTTGATGCGTGTATAGCCCGGAAAATACGGTACAAACGTTTTATTTGAATGTTACGAGATTACCGTTATCTACAGACAGTGTTGGGAAGGTGACTTTTAAAATGTATTCCCCTACAGGTTACAGATTACACACCCCAAAATATAGTTTGTAACGTAATCCATTAAATTACTTAAAGTGAGTAATGTAATCTGAATACTGTGGATTACTTGATTTGCTGTAGAGAAGCAAAGACCAGGATATCATAACATAAGAAGTTTTGTCTGATAAAAGAAAATTAAAAGCCCAGACTTTACTGAACCAAATTAAAAATATTATTGATACAGGAGGAGGAAACATGTCCACGCAGCATGATTTAGTCCTGGTTTAGACCTAGTTTAGTCCTGGTTTAGTCCTGGTTTAGACCTGGTTTAGACCTGGTTTAGTCCTGGTTTATTCCTGGTTTTAGATCTAGTTTAAATCTAGTCTAGACCTGGTTTTAGTCCTGATTTTAGTCCTGGTTTAGACCTGGTTTTAGACCTGGTTTAGACCTGGTTTAGTCCTGGTTTAGACCTGGTTTAGACCTGGTTTAGATCTAGTTAAATCTAGTCTAGACCTGGTTTTAGTCCTGGTTTAGACCTGGTTTAGACCTGGTTTAAATCTAGTTTAGATCTAGTTTAGACCTGGTTTTAGTCCTGGTTTAGTCCTGGTTTAGTCCTGGTTTAGTCCTGGTTTAGACCTTAGACCTGTTTAGACCTTTTAGACCTGGTTTTAGACCTGGTTTAGACCTGGTTTAGTCCTGGTTTAGTTTCCGCCAATGAGTGGAATTACTGGGGAAAAAAAAAAAAAAATAAAAATGTGAAAACAGGAAAATACCTCTGTGTAATCCATTTATTTCAACAAAGTAACTGTAATCCAATTACCACTCACTGAAACAGTAACTGTAACTGAATACAATCGCTCAAAATTTGTACTCTGATTACGTAACTCCGGTACATGTAATCTGTTACTCCCCAACACCGTCTACAGATTTAGAGTTACCGCAACAGACGGATGAAAGAGCCGCGAGTTAGATTAATGCCGCGCCGTGTAACATTTTAGTGAAAGCAATAACATCTCAACAGTTATATCCACCACCAAAAAAGTTCCATAGTAGCTTTAAACATGAGTCTGTACTAACCTTATTTGTACGTCAGCGGTGTTTTCTCTTCCACAGCATGGGGCCTGGGCTGCATTGTGTTTACCTCTAATCTGTTTTTCTTGTAAAAATGGAGTTGTTGTTTTTGTTTTTTTTGCCGTTGTGCTGTTTTGCTAACCCCTTGTCTTCTGCACGTTGGCATGCCGCGCCCTCTATCAAACCAGACGGGGACCAAGGTAATGGAACTCACTCTCCGCTCACTCTAGTCTAGTCTCATCTCTCGCACACAAAAACTACATTTCCCCGCACCGATGTTAACCTAAACGTCCATCCTCTTCCTTCATTAGCATTTTGATTGTTTCTGAACTCTAATCTTGCCTCATAATTTGAAAAGCTTTTGGTAAAACATGACTTGGTTTTCCCCCTTTTACTAAAAAAAAAAACAAAAAAAAAAACGGTCGATTTGACAACTGATTTGCAGTCATTTGTTCCACCCGTATATTTTCTCTGTCAGCTCTTGTCCCATTATCTGAGAATTAGAGAACGAAAAGCTAACCCAATCTGAACTTGTTATCGTGCTGAATAATGTCTTGTTAAAGCTGCAATGTGTCATTTTTTTGCGAAGGGTCCGTCACCTGCTTGTTTCGGTGGATATTTATGGTCACTGCTCTGCCTGGAATGTTCCACAGTGTGACATTAAACAGCTTTAACTTATATTTATTCAAGTACAGGTGGTTTTATAACTCAAAAATACTCAAAACAGAACAGAAACAAGCAATACTGACTGTGAGCAAGGCAAACCAGTTGTAGTAGTTGTAGTAGTTGTTGAGTATTAGGAGTAGTAGTTGTAGTAGTAGTAGGGGTAGTAGTTGTAGTAGTGGTTCTTCTTCTTGTTGTAGTTGTCATTGTTGTAGTAGTTTTAGTTGTTGTAGTAGTATTAGTTGTTGTAGTAGTAGTAGTAATAGTAGTAGTTCTTGTTGTTGTGTAGTAGTTGGTGTTGTAGTAGTAGTTGTTGTTGTTGTAGTTGTTGTAGTAGTAGTAGTAGTAGTTGTAGTAATAGTTGTAGTAGTTGTTGTAGTAGTAGTAGTAGTTGTTGTAGTAGTAGTAGTAGTAGTTGTTGTTGTAGTAATAGTTGTAGTAGTTGTTGTACTTATAGTTGTTGTTGCTGCGTAGTAGTTGCTGTTGTAGTAGTTGTAGAAGTTGTTGTAGTTGTATTAGTTGTTGTAGTAGTTGTAGTTGTTGTAGTAGTTCTTGTTTTAGTTTTTGTAGTAGTAGTTGTCGTTGTTGCTCTAGTTATAGTTGTACTAGTTCTTGTAGTAGGGTTAGGGTTAGTAGTTGTAGTAGTAGTTTTAGCTGTTATAGTAGTAGTAGTAGCTGTTGTTGTTGTTGTTGTAGTTGTAGTAGTAGTAATTGTTGTAGTAGTTGTAGCTGTTATAGTAGTAGTAGTAGCTGTTGTTGTTGTTGTAGTTGTTGTAGTAATAATAATTGTAGTAGTAGTAGTAGTAGTTGTTGTAGTTGTTGTTGTAGTAGTAGTAGTAATAGTAGTAGTAGTAGTAGTAGTTGTTGTTGTTGTTGTTGTAGCTGTTATAGTAGTAGTAATTGTTGTAGTAGTTGTAGCTGTTGTAGTAGTAGTAGTAGTAGTTCTGGTCATTGTTGTAGTTGTTGTAGTAGTAATTGTTGTTGTTTTAGTTGTTGTAGTAGTGTAGTAGTAGTAGTAGTAGTAGTAGTAGTAGTAGTAGTAGTAGTAGTAGTAGTTGTTGTAGTAGTAATTGTTGTAGTTGTAGTAGTAGCTGTTGTTGTTGTAGTTGTTGTAGTAGTAGTAATTGTTGTAGTAGTAGTTGTTGTTGTAGTAGTTGTTGTAGCTGTTATAGTAGTAGTAGTAGTAGTAATTGTTGTAGTAGTAGTTGTAGCTGTTATAGTAGTAGTAATTGTTGTAGTTGTAGTAGTAGTAATTGTAGTAGTAGTAATTGTTGTAGTAGTTGTTGTAGCTGTTATAGTAGTAGTAGTAGTAATAATTGTTATAGTAGTAGTAGTAGTTGTAGCTGTTATAGTAGTAGTAATTGTTGTAGTAGTAGTTGTAGCTGTTATAGTAGTAGTAGTAGTAATAATTGTTATAGTAGTAGTAGTAGTTGTAGCTGTTATAGTAGTAGTAATTGTAGTAGTAGTAATTGTTGTAGTAGTAGTTGTAGCTGTTATAGTAGTAGCTGTTGTAGTTGTTGTTGTAGTAGTAGTTGTAGTAGTAGTTGTAGTTGTTATAGTAGTAGTAATTGTTGTAGTAGTAATTGTTGTAGTTATAGTTTACGATCAGCTTGAGTTTAAAAAGAAAACAAAAGATGAAGTAACTTGAATAACAAAGCTTCAGTCAGAACATGCCTCCAGTTACCTTCACAACATCAACATTATTATTATTATTATTACGTAATGACAAACAATCTACCACGAATAAACATCTGAAGTAATAATTTAAAAAAAAAAGAAAAAAAAGTTGATTCTCTTTCCTTCCGAGTTAAAAAGTTCGATTAGTCCCCTCGGTGTAAACGGGACGCAGACGGCGGTTGGTTCAAATGGCTTCTGATCTCGTTTAATCCCGGTTTTAAAGCCGCTCTTGTTTTCCCGTCTCCCCTTGTCTCCTCTCTAACCCCCTTTTTTTTTCTTTCTGGAGATAAAAAAATTTCCAAAGATCACAACAACGCCGTCCCCTTTAAGCCGCTCTATCTGATGCTTCCCCCTCGTCGCCCACGCCAGGCTCCGAAACTACACAGCGCCGTATCACGAGGCGGCAGAGTCAAGCTTGTTCTGCTCAGAGTTTATTTTCCTGCGAATATGTTTCCTGAAGCTTTTCTATTTTAAAACGACGTACGCTCACCTAAAAGTTTAAATAAGTTACGGATCGTGCGGTAATTATATGTATTTGCAGACTGGGCTAACCACTCTGCCGCAGTCACACAGTGGGAAAATATACAAATTTTTACTATTTATCCTATTTCTTTTCATCTTGCTCTGTCTTTAATCCACCATTTTTTAATCACCTGTCTGTATTTTACTCATTTTAGGTCCAATATTTTACAAAATTGGCTTTTTGAGCTCTTAAAAACCGTCTTAAAAACATATATTTGGCAGATTTTTTGTTTAATTTATGGATGTAATTAAACAGATTTTATTATAAGTTAACTTTTCTGGTTGTAGGTCTACCACTTGCTTGTCTCCGCGGCGATGTTCCACACTATGGCATTAAATTTATCTACAGTATGTCACATTTATTCGATGAAAACATGCATTCTTATTGTGGGTGGTGGTGAGGTGACGGGGCTCGCCTCTCTACAGATCTTACCTGTAACTTGGGCTACGCCTGATTTTCCTCAATGGAGACAAAGTTTAATGCGATACTGTGGAACATTCTGGACAAAAACGGTAACGTCACCATGGAGACGAGTAGGCTGTAGGTAGTGGAACCTTCACCAGAAAAGTTCCATAGTGAGTCTTTAACTTGATTAAATACCAGAAAACCTAAATACACGTCCAAAGTGAAAACTGGTGTTAAAACCTGATTCTTGCAGAATATTGGACCAGTCATTTTGTGTATAATTAGCAGTTTTTTACCTCCACTAGTTTCTAAACTCTATCTTTTCTTCTCTCTCTCCTCTCCTCCTCACTCCTCTATCCTCTTCTCTCTCCTCTTTTCCCCTTCCCTCTCCTCCTCTCTCCTCCTCTTTCATCCTCCTCTTATCCCCCTTTCTATCTCCCTCTCTTCTCCTTTCTCCTCCTCTCCTCTGTCATCTGCTTTCTCCTTCTCTCTCCTCCTCTCCCCCTCTCGCCTTCTGTCTTCTCTCTATCTTCTCTGTCTCCTCTCCTCTTTCCTCTTTCCTCCTCTCTTCTTTTCTCTCCTCCTCCCTCTCTCTCCTCTCTCTTCTCTCTTCTCTCTCCTCCTCTGTCCTCTCCCCTCTCCTCTCTCATCCTCCTCTCTTCGCTCTCTTCTCCCCTCCTCTCTCCTTTCTTCTCTCCTCTCTCCTCCTTTCCTTTATTCTCCTGATCTCTCCTTTTCTCTCCTCCTCTCCTCTCTCCTGCCCTCTCCTTCTCTTTATTTTCCTCTCCTCTTCCCTCCTCCTCTGTCCTCCTTTCTCCTCTCTTCTCTCTCCTTCTTTCCTCCTCTCCCCTTCTATCTTCTGTCTCCTCTTCTGCCTCCTCCTCTCTTCCTCTCTCCTCTCTCCTCCTTTTCTCTCTTATCTTCGCTTCTCTTTTCTTCTCTTCTCTCTCCTCCTCTCCTCTCCTCTTCTCCTTTCTTACCTCCTCTCCTCTGTTCTCTCTCCTCTCTTGTCTCTCCTCCTCTGTCCTCTCTCTCCTCTCTCCTCCTCTCCATCTTCCTTCCTTCTCTCTCTCCTCCTTTTTCACTCACACGACCGTTCTCGTTCCGTTTGTTGAAACATGCCCGCAAGACCATAAACCGGGACGACAGGAGCTTTCTTACTCACATGTACTTTCTCTCAGGTGTGTGAGAATAAAAAAGCCCCTCGTCCTGGTTCATGGTTTCGTATTTTGACAAAACTAAACCTTGGTCAGAAAAAAGAATCGGAAAACCAAAACCAAACCTCACTGACTAATCGCAAAACATATACTACTGCAGTTTTTTTTTTTTTTTTTTTACTTAAAATTTTAATATCATTTTTTATTAAGTGTTTCATGTTTATATTCTGTTATACTATCACAGAATAAAAACAAGACTCAAACAATGACCAAAACACATCAGACAAATGGAACTTATAATTAATTCTCTTGCCATCTTTTTTGCTATTTATTTAGGAAGTTTTGATTTGATTTAAATTTAATTTATTATTATTATTTTTTTTTATTTTAAATTATTTTTTTTATTTAAAATTTATTTTAAATTTTTTTTTTTATATTTTTAAATTTAATTTAATTTTATTTACTTTATTTTCTTTACTTTATTTTTTATTTATTTTAATTTAATTTTATTTTATAAATTTTTATTTACTATATTTTAATTTATTTATTTTAATTATTATTTATTTGTTATATTATATTGTGGTGTGTGAGCTACTGTGTCCAAATTATTTCCCATGTGGATCAGTAACATTTGTTTAAGTCTAAATCTAAGTGCAAGTTGTGTGCAAACGTAAAAAATAAATAATAATAATTTAGATGTTTTTAATGGCTCCTAATAGCATTTATTTTACAATTTAAGCCAGTGTTGTGATATTTATTTATTTATTTTTATTTTATTTTTTTTACTTATCTAGGACCAAGTATTCATGGTTTTATTGCATTCTAGTTTTTTTTTTTTTTACAACAAAGTGGATGAATCGTCTCTTCTTCTCTGTCAGGATCAAAGGTCACCGCTCTGGAGTGTCTGGAGGCCATGGCGTCTGGATTGTACTCGGAGCTCTTCACTTTAGTCATCTCCCTCATCAACAGGTCTGTACAAAAGAAGATCTTGTGTAAAAACACTCCAATAGCAAGAAATAAAAATAAGTATTGAAATCATAATATAATAGAAATAAAAATATGTAAATTTATTATCAAACATGTCAAAAACTCATCTTGGATGCAGATCACTTTTCCAGTGTTGCCTCCATGGATATGTTGTACTAGTAGCTTTGTCTGTAATGTTCCACAGTATGGCATTAAACTTTTCCACGTGAGATTCACTCAAGCAGGTGACACAACCGAATAAAATTACATGTCAGGTCTGTGGAGATGTAACCCTGATCACAGTAAGAATGCAAAGAAAGAAAAGCAATAACATCTCCATGGCAACAAGCAGATGGTGGACTTTAAAGGTGCAGTATGTACCATATTTTTCGGACTATAAGGCGCACTTAAAATCCTTTAATTTTCTCAAAAATCAACAGTGCGCCTTATGTATTAATTCTGGTTGTGCTTACTGACCTCGAAATGATTTTATGTGGTACACGGCGCTGAAAAATCTGTCAAAATGTTTTAGTACGACTTTGGTAAACTATGAAACCGCCCCACTTGATGAATTGTCGGAGCATTATGACTACTGTAGTCAGGATCCTCACAGCGTAAAGGGCAAAGTATAATTTCTGCGTCGACACAACGCACACTGCTGCCGTCGCCTTGTCACAAAAAAACCCACTCATATTCCACTGAGTCGTGTCGTTTAGTCTAACAGAAACTGAACCGCATCAGCGCACAAGGAGCGAGCTGTTTTTTTCATCACTTATAGTTTATGCAAATTTGCCATGTGGTTTTAAGTTTCTCTTCTGTAAAACGTAAACAAATGTGCACATAGCTACATTAAACACATTATTACTCAATGTATATTTGAGTCGTCCACGTAGGAAATACAAAAAAACAAACTTAATTAGTGATCCACCCACATTCACATTCATAATCCACATTCACCAAGACAGGGAGGCAACGCCGGGCGAATTACGCCACGATCTGCCAATGGATCGTGGACGCCTCGGCTAAGGCATCAGTCTGAAGTGTCGTCCGTTTGTTTCGCTTAATGCGCCTTATAATCCGGTGCAACTTATGTATGAAAATAGACGAGAGAATTCAGCATTATTGATATTACGTCTAATAATTCGTTGCGCCTTATAGTCTGAAAAATACGGTAGCTTGTTTCTGTAGATCTGCGATTCCTCTGCCTGGAATGTTCCGCAGTATGACATTAAACAGCTCTACTTTACTTTTAATCAATTACAGATGGTTTTACAGCTCAAAAATACCTAAAAAACTGACATTCTGACTGTGAGCGGGGTCGCCTCTCCGCAGATCTGACCTGTAACTCGGTCCGGTTTGATCTCCGTGAAAGATGGAAAGGTTTAACGCCACGCTGTGAAACATTCCAGACAAAGCAGTAACATCTTGTGGGTTTTTTCGGAAGGTTCAATGCGTGTCCTAAAAAGAAGCACGAGAGATGGAGAATCCGAGAGAACAGGCCACTTTATTTCAGCATTTCCATTGAGAGAGATTCAAGTTGATTACCAAGTACAACTGCCACCCCGGAACGACGCCTCTGACCAACTCAAAATCAGGGGTAGCTTTATACTACATCTTGACAAAACATTAACTTGTTGATTTAGCATATACAGCAAGAAAATGAACAATACTGCTGACCCAGTGCACCTTATCATGGGTGGGAACATGCCACGGGGTCCACATATGTCAGTTTTGCTGCTTCGTGGCACTCAAAGTCCAGAAAAACATGTTCTTTATGGCACTCAAAGTACAGAAAAAACATGTTATATAGACCTATAGATAGTCATACGTGTTTTCCACCCTGTTGTCATTCCAAAGTCCATAATATTGGGTGAATTAGCATGACCAACACATAATATTTCCCACAATCTCCAGGGAGAAAAGACGACGCGCCTTTAAACTTGACCTCCCGTAACGATGATGCGCATGGAAAAGTGCCACAGTGTTTCTTTTCTCGCCCGTTTTTATAACACAACCTGTTTGTGAATAGACATGTTCTTGCTCTCAGCGTTGGCCTCGGAGCAGCTTGTTATAGTTTAGTCTCGCTCTTGTATCTGTCCTGTACCTGTCCTCTCTCTGTCTCTCTCCTTTTCTCCATCTCTCCTCTCCTCTGCTCTCTCCGTTCTCTCCTCTCTCTCCTGCTTCTGTGTTTGGAGTTTTGTCAGACTTTTCTCTCTGGGGATCGTTGCCTCTGCAGTTTTTCTATAAATAAATATTCTCCCCGAGCTAAACAAATACAGTACGAGACAGAGGTAAGCTTCTGGTTCAGGAATAAAAAAGAAAAAAAAAAAGAAAAAAGATTGAGTTAGTTTTTCCATTTAAAGATGCACGGTGTAACTTTTCTCCGTGGAGATGTTATTGCTTTGTCGGTGTGATTAAACCTTTCTGTCTTTGTGGAGATCAAACCGGAATAAGTTACAGGTCAGATCTGTGGAGAGGCGACCACGCTCACAGTCAGAATGTTGTTTTTCTAGGTATTTTTGAGCTATAAAACCACCTGTAATTGAGTAAATGCAATGTAGAGCGGGACTACACTAGGACTAAACCAGGTCTAAACCAGGACTAATCTTGGATTTAAGAGAGAGAGAACCCCGAGCCCCGTGGAGCAGGTTGTCCTCAAAGCGTGATCTGGTGACGGCTGCGCTTACCTCCGTGTGGTGTGGAGCTCTGTGCCGCTCCTTTTGTCTGCGGTCACCTGATGGTTTACACGGGCGCATCTCCGAGCCCGTCCCGACAGTCAGTCCTGGTTTAGTCCTGTTTTAGTCATGGGTTAGTCCTGGATTGGTCCTGGATTAGTCATGGGTTAGTCATGGGTTATTTCTGGTTCAGTCCTGGTTTAGTCCTCCTGGTTCAGTCCTGCAGTCAATCCTAGGTTAGTCCTCTTTTAGTCTTCTTTTAGTCCTCTTTTAGTCCTCCTGGTTCAGTGCTGGAATCAGTCCTGGTTTTGCCCTGTTTTAGTCCTGTTTTAGTCCTAGTTTAGTTCTGGTTTAGTTCTGGAATCAGTCCTCTTAGTCCTGGGTTAGTCCAGTCCTGGGTCAGTCCTGGGTTAGTCCTGGGTAGTCCTGGGTTAGTCCTAGGTTAGTCCTGTTTAGTCCTTAGTTTTAGTCCTGGTTTAGTCCTGGTTAGTCTCCTGGTTCAGTCCTGGTTAGTCTTAGTCCTTAGTCCTAGGTTAGTCCTGGGTTAGTCCTGGTTAGTCTGGCTGGGTTAGTCCTGGTTAGTCCTGGTTAGTCCTGGTTTAGTCCTGGTTTAGTCCTGGTTAGTCCTGGTCTTAGTCCCTTAGTCCTAGGTTAGTCTTAGTCCTGGTTAGTCCTGGCTTAAGTCCTTAGTCCTGGTCCTTAGTTAGTCCTGGGTCCTTAGTCCTGGTTAGTCCTTAGTCCTAGTTTAGTTAGTCCTGGGTTAGTCCTGGTCCTTAGTCCTATTAGTCCTGGGTTAGTCCTGGGTTAGTCCTGGCTTAGTTAGTCCTGGTTAGTCCTGGGTCCTTAGTTAGTCCTGGTTAGTCCTTAGGTTAGTCCTGTCTTAGTCCTGGGTTAGTCCTTAGTCCTTAGTCCTGTCTGGGTTAGTCCTGTCCTGGTTAGTCCTGGGTTAGTCCTGGCTTAGTCCTGGCTTAGTCCTTAGTCCTTAGTCCTGGGTTAGTCCTGGGCTTAGTCCTGGTCCTTAGTCCTAGGGCTTAGTCCTGTTAGTCTTAGTCCTGGCTTAGTCCTGGGTTAGTCCTGGCTTAGTCCTGGCTTAGTCCTTAGTCCTTAGTCTTAGTCCTGGGGTCCTGGGTTAGTCCTGGGTTAGTCCTTAGGTCCTGGGTTAGTCCTAGGCTTAGTCCTGGGTTAGTCCTGGCTTAGTCCTGGGTTAGTCCTTAGTCCTGGGTTAGTCCTGGGTTAGTCCTGGGTTAGTCTTAGTCCTGGGTTAGTCCTGGGTTAGTCCCTTAGTCTTAGTCCTGGCTTAGTCCTGGTTCCTAGGGTTAGTCCTGGGTTAGTCCTTAGTCCTGGTTAGTCCTGGGTTAGTCCTGGTTAGTCCTTAGGGTTAGTCCTGGCTTAGTCCTGGGTTAGTCCTGGGTTAGTCTGGTTAGTCCTGGGTTAGTTAGTCCTGGGTTAGTCCTGGCTTAGTCCTGGGTTAGTCCTGGGTTAGTCCTGGGTTAGTCCGTGGCGTGTGCGGTACAAAAGTTCTGCATCTCCGTCAGCTTTTCTTCTGCTCGGCCTGTGAAGTGACGACAGTCGAGTCGCGTCTGTGAGTTCGTGTTCGTACTGAAAAAAGCTAAACCGTTTCATTTCGTGATTGTAATTCTTGAAGTCGTAACTTTTCAGTTCATATGCTTCAGTTCATTTCTGTGTGATTTATCACGGGCTCGGGCGGGTAACGGGTGGAATGTTACCGGGTCCGGGCGGGTAAATGGACCCTTGCGGGACTCTGAATGACATCTCCATAGAAACCCAGTGTACGTTTGATTTCCAATTAATTTCCCATTTAAAACAGTGAAACAGCCGCAAGGTTAGACTTTAGCGGAAATGAAAATTACAATTCTTTGCGCAGACCCCTAGTTGGAGACCCCTGCTCTAGATGCTCCAGTTTCTTAAGAGCAAAAACTATACTGTTATGGTGTGATAGACTTATTTAACAGCACAAACCAGATAACCTGTTGTAGTTGAAATTAAATCAGTTATTTAATGTGAGATTATGTTAAAATAAAGATCAGATTATAGTCAGACAGAGCAGTGCTTCAATTAGCTTCACATCCCCGGGGAATCTTGATGAGATCAGCTGCAAACTCAATAAGCTCCTTCCTCTGCGTTTGAAATAGATCTTGTTAATCTCAGCAGGACTTTCATGGTTAAATAAAGGTCTACAAATAAATAAACTGGCTACTGTGATGCTGATCCTGTATCCAAATAAAACTGTGTTCATTGGCCTGACTAAATCCAAAATCACACTCCTCCTCCGTCCCCGTGTAAACTGTGTTCTTGTGTCTGTCTCCGCGCACAGAGCTCTGAAGTCCAGTCAGCATTCCCTCTGCTCCCTGCTCATCGTGGACACTCCCGGTTTCCAGAATCCCAAAGTCTCTCAGCTCAAAAGAGGAGCCACGTTTGAGGAGCTGTGTCACAACTACACGCAGGAAAGACTCCAGACGCTTTTCCACGAGAGGACGTTCACGCAGGAGCTGGACCGATACAAGGAGGTGCACTGGAATAAGAAACGCCTAGATACACGCAAAAACACAAACAACATTTAGTTTACGTCCCGTTTAGGTCTCAAAAAATACTTTATAGAGGCTTTGCACCGTCACGTGACCCGGGCACATTATGTCATTGACTTCAGCAGCATCGGAGAAACATGGGCAGGTTTTGTTGTATATTTGGTTGTTCTAGACCAGGGGTGTCAAACTCATTTTGGTCCAGGGGTCGTATCCAACCTACTTTGATCCCAAAGGGGCCGGATCAGAAAACTCATGTCATATAAACCCCAAAAATAACAATAAGTTCAAATATTTGTGCAGAGAAACACAAATCTATTACAGAAATCTTTTTTAATTGATGAACTCTTCTTTTACAAAATATTATAATATTATGAACAACCTGAAACTTTAAGAAAAATACAATTTCAACACAATGTTTTAACATGAACTTGTTTAACATTAACTTGTATAAATAGGAATAAGTAAATTTTTCTTGTAAAATCCTGCACTTGGTTTCTACTTTTCTCATGTTGGGCATTTTTCTGATGAGGGGGTCACGGTCAACAGTCAAAACGATCGTCCTTTAAGAGCGTTTGGAAAGAGACAAGTCTTCATTTGTGCTGCTCTGGTGGGAGGGGCCACGTACAGAGACGCTGGAGACGCTGATATGATAAACACCACAGAAAATTACCAATATTTTAATAAAAAATAGAATTAAAATATTTTAGTAGAAAATCAGCCGAGGGCCAGATTAAAGGTCTTGGAGGGCCGGATCTGGCCCCCGGGCCGCATGTTTGACACCTGTGTTCTAGACGCTCTGAATGGGATAAAATGAATAGTTTCTTCACTATTCCTCTGGAAATTACTCATCAGGATCTCAAACAAGGGAATTATCAGAAAAAAGACGCGGATTATAGCAGCAAAAATAAACCGCGAAGAGATTTCCTATTGTACCATCAAGACACCTGAAGTTTCATCAAGGTATTTGCTATTTAAATTGTTTCATAACTTATTTAATGAAAGAAGCACATTTACTGAACAAAAATTTCATTAATTTATCCAGGAAAACCCGCACTAGTTTACGAACCCACACTGGGCTCCTGTGATCAACATGGTGCAGTCGAAGAGTCTGTGAGCCGAACCTCGAAAGAATCGGCCATGAACAGATCCTCACGAACGTTAGAAAGATCCGCTCACAAAAAGCGATTAATTCTAGAAGACATAGTTGTGGATAAGCAAGACAATAAAGAAAACATGGGTCCTACGACGAGTGACATGTTTATATGTGCGTTGGAAGATACAGTTTCTAGTGCCACTCACACGGCAAATGTTTTCTTTTTACATTTTAGTTCAGTAAATGTGCTTCTCTCATTAAATAAACTATGATCAATTTAAATAGCAAATACCTTGATGAAAGTGACGTGAGTGTGTCTTGATGGTACCATAGGAAATCTCTTTGCGGTTTATGTTCTCTAGCCATAATTCACGTTTTTTTTTCCGATAATTCCCTTGTTTGATCCTGATGAGTCATTTCCAGAAGAAAAGTGAAGCAACGGATCGTTTTATCTCGTTCAGAGCGTCTAGAACAACCAAATACACAACAAAACCTGCCCATGTTTCTCCAATGCTGCTGAAGTCAATGACATAGCGTGCCCGGTGTCATGGCGGCGTAGTTACCGTTGCTATATGGGTCACGTGACGGTGCAAAGCCTCTATTGGCCTTTAGAAACTAGTCAGATGAACAAAAAACAAAATATGACTTCATGAGGATAAAATATAAAATCATTTATAAAAGATTTAACAAGAAAAAAATTTATAGATCTTGAGATTTTACCAAAATTTCAGTGAGTCTAAATGGAGAGTTTAAGCCTTAATGTTCATTTAAATGTTTTCTTACTACACAGTGTTAAATGTATTGACTTTAATTTACTTTTTAGTTTGTTTTGGCCAATGTATCAATGAGGGTTTTTACACGACGAGGGCTCGGCATCATTAAGAAGTTACCGATACGATACACTTTTCGATACAGTGCACTTTCAATCCAATACGATTCAGTACGATATATTGCAAATCGATTCGATAAGGTTCAGTGAAAAACAAAGCCTAAATCATGGCTGTGATACTAAAAATCTACAAAGTCTGTGCAAAGTTAAAATAAAAAACGACATTTTATTCATCAAAACTGTGAAAAAGTCAACACAATTGTAGCTTTTACACAAAATAATTGAGTAAAATCTACCTAAAAATACTCTTGGTGATATATTGATACAGCATTTTTTATGTTATGTCCACGATATCGATTCGGTATCATCAAATTAAACGATACGTTATGTCGATATTTCAGTATTTTTGCACACTTCTATAGACTATTGGTACAAATATGCATGATTTCTTATGGAATCAATTTTGTGTCAAATAATTCAAGAACAATTTTAAATCATCAAGCAAAAAAGTATAAATTAAAATACCAAATAAAACAAATCAAACCAAAAAAGTTTAATAAATTAAATCAGTTTTCAATCAAATTATTAGTGTAATCGTGTAAAATATTTGTCTTTGCCTCTATGGAAATGTTTTGTTTTTGTCCCACGTCTTTGTTTAGTTTGATTCTTTTTTTTTGGTTCTGATTCTCCTTCTCGTTTGCGCTCGCTGAACTTTTTGGTGCAGTTTTGGCACAAACGTGACAGGTGGGTGGGATTTACATGGATGCATTCCCGTTGGCTCATTTATGTTTGATGGACAGCTGAGGTTGGAGCTCCTGTGGACGTTTCCCGTTGAAGTTTTGGCGACTGCAGCACTGACAAGTTTGTTTAGAATCACGTTATTCCAGAAGAACCGTCCACAAGAGAGAACGCTGAATATTAGAAAAGCTCTGAGCGCCAAAACTCCAACAGGAAACGTCCACAACAGCTTCCAGAGCTTTGTTTTATTTTGTTTTTATTTGGTATTTTGATTTATAATTTTCGCTTGATGTTTTAAAAGCGCTCATTGAACTAGTTGACTCAAAACTGATTCCATAATTTCCATAATTTTCCATTTTTCGGCATTACTTCCCCTTCTTACATTGTTAAAAAGGCAAAAAATAACAGATTGCTTAATTTTTTTGGTTTATTTTTATTTTACTGAAGACATTTCTTATCAAATGTAAGTACACTAATTTAAGTAAAGGCAAAACTAGTATCTTAACTTGTATATATAACTATTTTACCCCTGTATTACTTCACCTAGAGATTATATTTCATCATTAGACTGGGAAAACCTCTTAAACTCTGCAAAAAGTCCAACATTTCCTGCAATTAAATCAGTTTAATTTCCAATATTTTCACCCACAATTTTCACAATCTCAATCTGAAACCATAACACAAACCCAATCTAAAGTAATTTTATATTTTGATTTATAATTTTTGCTTGATGTTTTAAAAGTGTTCATTGAACTATTTGACTCAAAACTGATTCCATAATTTCCATAATAATAATTCCATAATTTTTGACATTACATTGTTAAAAAGAAAAAAATAACAGATTGCTTAATTTTTTTTGGTTTATTTTTTTACTTTTTTGTAAATTATATAAGACATTTCTTATCAAATCTGGGCAAAACTAGTATCTTAACTTGTATATATAACTATTTTACCCCTGTATTACTTCACCTAGAGATTATTTTTCATCATTAGATTGGAAAAACCTCTTAAACTCTGCAAAAAGTCCAACATTTCCTGCAATTAAATCAGTATAATTTCCGATATTTTCACCCACAATTTGTACAATCTCTAATTTAAATCCTCAATCCTCAATCTGAAACCATAACACAAACCCAATCTCTTGTAATTGTGAGTAATTATTTGCTGTTTTTGATTGTAAACGCTGATTGTTGACACTAACCCTCCCTCCTGCTTCTATAGGAGAACATAGAGCTTGCATTAGATGACATAGAGAGCTCTCCGTCTCTGTCTGTAGCCGCAGTGGATCAGGCCTCCGCTCAAGCGCTGGTAAGAAAAACTCTACGTGTACTTTTTTTTTTCCTATTAAAATCCACGCTCTCCTCCTCACACCTCGCCTGCAGTCTGCTCGTTACGGACCGAATGCTAATTGAGTCCTCGGTTTAATGAAGTTTGGGGAATAACGTCGTGTGAATGATTGCGACTGTAATGGAGCCGCTAACAATGCATTTAAATTGGCTTTTTAATGTTCTCTTCTTCAAATATATCTCATTATTTTTAGTGCGAACGTTGTACATAAACTATTAAGTGGTTCTGCTTTGTTATGGGCCACATTTTGAGGACTTATCCCCCCCCATTCAGAAGTTGTAATATTTTGGTTTAAACGGTTTAAGTTGTTAGGGACGGGACCAGATCTCGTGAGACAACATCTGGACAGACAAAATTGCCACAGTCTTTTGTAGTGCTGCCAAAAAAAACTAATAAAACTACTACTGCTACTACTACTGGGTCCGGTCCAGCAGTAATGGAGGGAAACGGGCAGATTTTTTACATTCAAATGTCTCTTATTCAGAAACTAGAGGGACTATTGAAATAAGTAAAGTATCAGAATGTAGCAAAGAGTTACACTCCAACAGGGTGAAGTTAAACCTGTGATATTCTTTCAAGTTGTTGACAAAAAATTTAAAAACTAATGTCGGTAACAGAGGGAATGAAATATGCAGCACTTTTTGGGCAATAAATACAAACAGCGATAACTCTTGGTTCTCACTTACATATCCTTAACAAACTGCATTCAGACTGCAGCCTGAAGTGACCCAAATCCGATTTTTTGGCTTCTATGTGACCTGTATCTGATCTTTTAATGACAGTCTGAACAACACAGATTTTTTCAAATGTGACCCAGGCCACTTGGATATGTGCTCCTGAAACCGATACATATCTGATCTTTTGACATGTGACTTCAGTGTGAACGGCCAAAGTGCATTCATCCACCTACACTTTATCAACAAGACACAAACGTCACTATTCTGCGCTGAAGTAGGCGAAAATTGTTAATGAACTCCATGTCACTGAAGTGAAGCACATCACCACTCACCACTCTTGGCTCCGTCTCCACATCCACACGTTACTTTCAACGGACGTCGCTGCCGCTGCCCCACAAAACACCACGACCAAAAACCTCGTCCTTCTCCTTCTCAATCTCCTCCTTAAAACAAGTAAGTTGTTCATGTTCTGGCTCCGGTACGAGAGGAACTTTAAAATCTCCAGGTGCTCGATGCTGCGTCCATGTTTGGACAACTTCCGTAAACACAGAACACGCTCGCTGCGGTTGACGTCGTCGTGTCTCCAGTGTCACATGTGGGACACTTTCCGGCCGTTTAATGTTCACACTGGAGTCACATACAAGTCACATTTAATTGGAAATGTGAACGACCTCGCAAAAACATCGGATTTCACAAAAAAATCTGAATGAGCATTAAGCCCTGCAGTCTGAACGTAGCCTAAGACACACCGGATAATAAATCACTTTTTGGTGAAATGTATGTTATAAACAATAGAACAGTAAAATAACGATAGAACAGAGAACAACAGGCTGAATATGAACAGTTATTCAGATAATTATGACATAAACAACAGAACATAAGTTTAGCGAACTCTCGATCTCACACTAAATCCATTCAATTCACAATATCAGAACCAGAAACAAAAGTGATATGGTTCAAAAGACTTGAAAAGATCGACTTCGACAATAGACGCATCCCACTGGGAAAATAAACATGGAGGTTTGATGCTCACTTTTTCGGAAAATCCTTCCCAGTATGGATTGCGCGATGACCAATCCCAAGAATTCAAGTAAAAAACATATTTCTTTATGTTGTCTTTGGTGAAATGAATCATGGGAGATGTAGTTCTCAATGTTTATAAGCTGTTGCTGCTAGAAAACAAAGAATTTAAGCAAAGGAGCTTGTGATTCGATATATTGTGACAGCCCATGATATTATTGTGAGACTTTTGACGCTACGATATCATGATATTTTGGTTATTGTTACGTCCCTAGTAGTTATCAAGATCCAGAGTTGAAATTATCCAAATAATTGTGAAGGTGTATGGAGTTTAAAAACATTTTCTGCATTACCAACAGTGTTGTGAAGGTTACTTTTAAAATGTATTCCCCTACAGATTACAGATTACATACACCAAAATGTAGTTTGTAATGTAATCCATTAAATTACTTAAAGTGAGTAATGTAATCTGATTACTTTGGATTACTTGATATTGTCATGTTTTTTAAAACTACATGAATGTACCAACCACATCCACAAAGTTTATGTTTGTTCAGTCTTTATTTGACCATATTAAAAATATTATTGATAGAGAAATTATTTTTATATGAGATCAATGCTGACTTCAGTTATGTCCATCTACTGTTAAGTGTCATATTGTATTAGTTTAGTCCTGGTTTAGTCCGGGTTTAGTCTTGGTTTTAGTCCTGGTTTAGACCTTGTTTAGTCCTGCTTTAGTCCTGGTTTAGTCCTGGTTTAGTCCTGGTTTAGTCCAGTTTAGTCCTGGTTTAGTGCTGGTTTAGACCTAGTTTAGTCCTGGTTTAGTTCTGGGTTTAGTCCTGGTTTTAGTTCTGGTTTAGTCCGGTTTTAGTCCTGGTTTATTGCTGGTTTAGACCTGGTTTAGTCCTGGTTTAGTCCTGGGTTTAGTCCTGGTTTTAGTCCTTGTTTAGTCCTGCTTTAGTCCTGGTTTTAGTTCTGGTTTAGTCCTGGTTTAGTCCGGTTTTAGTCCTGGTTTATTGCTGGTTTAGACCTGGTTTAGTCCTAGTTTTACACCTGGTTTAGTCCTGGTTTAGTCCTGGTTTTAGTCCTAGTTTAGTCCGGGTTTAGTCCTGAGTTTAGTCCTGGTTTAGACCGGTTTTAGTCCTGGTTTATTGCTGGTTTCGACCTGGTTTAGTCCTAGTTTTACACCTGGTTTAGTCCTGGTTTTAGTCCTAGTTTAGTCCGGGTTTAGTCCTGAGTTTAGTCCTGGTTTAGTCCGGTTTTAGTCCTGGTTTATTGCTGGTTTAGACCTGGTTTAGTCCTGGTTTTAGTCCTGGTTTAGACCTTGTTTAGTCTCGGTTTAGTCCTGGTTTTAGTCCTGGTTTAGTCCAGTTTAGTCCTGGTTTAGTCTGGTTTTAGTCCTGGTTTAGACCTGGTTTAGTCCTGGTTTAGTCCTGGTTTTAGTCCTGGTTTCGACCTGGTTTTAGTCCGGGTTTAGTCCTGGTTTTAGACCTGGTTTAGTCCTTGTTTAATCCTGCTTTAGTCCTGGTTTTAGTTCTGGTTTAGTCTGGCTTTAGTCCTGGTTTTAGACCTGGTTTAGTCCTTGTTTAATCCTGCTTTAGTCCTGGTTTTAGTTCTGGTTTAGTCTGGCTTTAGTCCTGGTTTAGTTCTAGTTTAGCTCAAAATGTGAAAACAGGAAAAATCCCTCCGTGTAATCCATTTATTTCAACAAAGTAACTGTAATCCAATTCCCACTCACTGAAACAGTAACTGTAACCGAATACAGTTACTCATAATATTGTACTCTGATTACTTAACACCGGTACATGTAATCTGTTACTCCCCAACACTGATGACCGAAAAGTTTAAAACATGTGTGAATGAAACAAAACACAAGTCCAGGTCTGTTTGTGACGAGGAAAACAACATTATAACATCGATGTGAAAATGAAGTAACTTTTAAGTGGCTGTAGTTCTGATAATTGAGCGACTTTTTGCCACATCACTGTACTTTTTTTTTTTTTTTTTTTTTTTTGACTAGTGCATTTTTCAGTTCTTTCCAGCTCTGCTAATTATGTAGTGAAAGCTAATTGAGTCATCAGTGTAATGAAGTTTGGGGAATAACATTGTGTGACTGATTGCGACAGTAATGGAGGCGCCAACAATGCATTTAAATGGGCTTTTAAAAATGTTTTGTTCTCAAACTTTTAGCTAAATATGGCTCGTTATGTTTTGGTCTAATCCGCCTGTTGATTTGTTGTTAGGTGACATTTAGAGGACTTCTCCCCGTTCACAAGATAATATATTTAGTTTTGATTTAATTGGACTAAACCAGGACTAAAGCAGGACTAAAGCAGCACTAAACCAGGACTAAAGCAGGACTAAAGCAGTTCGGAACGAGGACTGAACCAGGTCCAAACCAGGTTCAAACCAAGACTGAACAAGGACAAAATTAGGACTAAACCAAGACTAAACCAGGACTAAACCAGGACTAAACCAGGACTAAACCAGGACTAAATCAGGACTAAACCAAGGACTAAACCAGGACTAAACCAGGTCCAAATTAAGTCCAAACCAGGTCCAAACTAGGTCTAAACCAGGACTAAACCAGGACTAAGTCAGGACTAAACCAGGTTTAAAACAGGACTAAACCAGATCCAAATTAAGTCCAAATCAGGTCCAAACTAGGATTAAATCAGGACTAAATCAGGACTAAACCAATACTAAACCAATATTAAACCAGGACTAAAACAGGACTAAACCAGGTCCAAATTAAGTCCAAACCAGGTCTAAACTAGGTCTAAACCAGGACTAAACCAGGACTAAATCAGGACTAAACCAGGATTAAAACAGGACTAAACCAGGTCCAAATTAAATCCAAACCAGGTCCAAACTAGGTCTAAACCAGGACTAAACCGGGACTAAATCAGGACTAAACCGGGACTAAATCAGGACTAAACCAGGACTAAACAAGGTCCAAATTAAGTCCAAACCAGGTCCAAACTAGGTCTAAACCAGGGCTAAACCAAGACTAAACTAAGACTAAACCAGGACTAAATCAGGACTAAACCAGGACTAAACCAGGTCCAAATTAAGTCCAAACCAGGTCCAAACTAGGTCTAAACCAGGACTAAGTCAGGACTAAACCAGGATTAAAACAGGACTAAACCAGGTCCAAATTAAGTCCAAACCAGGTCTAAACTAGGTCTAAACTAGGTCTAAACCAGGACTAAACCAGGACTAAATCAGGACTAAACCAGGATTAAAACAGGACTAAACCAGGTCCAAATTAAGTCCAAACCAGGTCTAAACTAGGTCTAAACCAGGACTAAACCAGGACTAAATCAGGACTAAACCAGGTCCAAACTAAGTCCAAACCAGGTCCAAACTAGGTCTAAACCAGGACTAAACCGGGACTAAATCAGGACTAACCGAGGACTAAAGTAGGACTAAAGCAGGACTAAACCAGGTCCAAACCAAGACTAAACCAAAACAAATCCAAGACTAAACCAGGACTAAAACAGTTCTAAACCAGGTATAAACTACTAGTAGGTCTATACCAGTACTAAATCAGGACCAAATCAGGGCTAAAACAGGGCTAAACCAGGACTAAACCAGGACAAAACCAAGATTAAACCAGGACTAAACTAGGGCTAAACCAGGGCTAAACCAGGTCCAGACCAGGTCCAAACCAGGACTAAACCAGGACTAAACCATGACGAAACTACTAGTAGGACTAAACCAGGATTAAACCAAGACTAAACGAGGGCTAAACCAAGACTAAACTACTAGTTGGTCTAAACCAGTTCTAAACCAGGTCCAAATCAGGACTAAACCAGACCCAAACCAGACCCAAACAGGACTAAACCAAGACTAAACCAGAACTAAACCAGATCCAAACCAGATCTAAACCAGATCCAAACCAGGTCTAAACCAAAACCAGACTACTAGTAGGTCCAAACCAGTCCAAATAAATCTAAACCAGGCCCAAACCAGGCCCAAACCAGGACTAAACCAGGACTAAACCAGGACTAAACCAGGTTCAAACCAGGTTCAAACCAGGTCTAAACCAGGCCCAGACCACACCCAAACCAGGACTAAACCAGATCCAAACCAGATCAAAAGCAGAACTAAACCAAAACCAAACTACTAGTAGGTCCAAACCAGGTCTATACCAGGACTAAACAAGGACTAATCTAGGTCCAATCGAGTCCACATAAGTCTAAACCAGGACTAAACCAAGCCTAAACCATGTTCAAACCAGGTCCAAACCAGGTCCAAACCAGGTCTAACCTAGGACTAAAGAAACCCTGATACTTCACAACACTTTAAAACACATCAGAAACCTGCAGTGACGTCCCGTTTCTTCCTCGATATTTCTCCTCGTCCTGTTTGTCCGTTTACAGTGAAAATCCGTTGGTTATTAAACATACAGACGCCGGTGTGACCCGCCTCTCCATTAGGTCTGCTCGATCGATTTGTATTGGCAGCAGCCGTGGGTGTTAACAAGGGATCCACGTCAAATTACCCTGAGCTCCAGAACACAGCCGCTCTGCGAAATGGAAACGCACCAAGACAAACTGTCAGATCCACCAGTGCCAACGATAAACAAACAAGTATTGGCATCTGTTTAGTACAAAGGGTTTATGATGAATGGAGAGAGTGTGTTTACTCGACTGCAAAGCTCGCTATTAAACTGCTGTTACGACAAGATTAGCGCCGGATTACAACTATTAGGCACGAGGAGGGCTGAACCGGGACTAAACCAGGTCTGAAACGGGTCTATACTTGGTCTAAACGCTGAAACATACTGGCCACTGCAGATTTGGAACATGCCCCAAGTACTACACTATGCCAGGACTAAACCAGGTCTGAACTAGGTCTGATCTAGGTCTGAACTAGGTCTAAACCAGATCTGAACGAGGTCTGAACCAGGTCTAATAAACTAGGTCTGATCTAGGGCTGATCTAGGTCTGAACCAGGTCTGATCTACATCTAAACTAGGTCTGATCTACGTCTAAACTAGGTCTAAACCTGGTCTAAACCTGGTCTAAACCAGGTCTAAACCGGGACTGAACCGGGACTGAACCGGGACTGAACCAGGTCTAAACGAGGTCTGAACTAGGTCTAAACTAGGTCTGAACCAGGTCTAAACTAGATCTAAAGAAACTCTGAAACATAGCGACCACTGCAGATTTGGAGCATGCCCAAAGTACTACACTATGCCAAGACTAAACCAGGACAAACCCTGACTAAACGCGGTCTTTTCAAGGCCTGAACCAGGTCTAAACCAACAATAAACAAACTATTGGCATCTGTTTAGCTACAGAGGGTTTATGATGAACGGGGAGTGTGTATTTACTCTGCTGCAAAGCTCCCATTAAACTGCTGTTATGACTAGATTATCTTTGCATTACATCCATTAGGCGCGTTATTATGGCTGCTCATTGACACAGAACTGGAGGGCTAAACGAGAACTAAACAAGGACTAAACGAGGAATAAAACAGATCTTAAGTAGGTCTAAACCAGGTCTAGGACTGACCTACAAAAGCTCCAAACAAAAGTTGCACTAAACCAGGTCTAAACGTGGACTTAACCCGACCTAAACCTGGACCAGTGACCCTCATTTTTCTTTTGATCTGCTGGTAATCCTTGCAGTTGTTGTGTCTTTGGGCAAAACACTTCTGCTCTATGTATAAATGTCATGTATAAGTGTTGCTGACCTGTGTCCCTCGCGTCAGGTGCGCGCCCTGTCCCGCACAGACGAGGCCCGGGGGCTGCTGTGGCTGCTGGAGGAGGAGGCGGTTCATCCTGGAGGATCAGAGGAGACCATGTTAGAACGACTCTTCACCTACTACGGCTCCAACCAGGGAGACGGAAAAGGTCAGTGTACAGTTTTATTCTTTTGGACTGGACATTACTCGTCCGTTCGCTGCTTTGTTTGAAATGAGAAGTAGCCAAAGTGAGATCTCAGAAACCAAGCAAGGCAGGGCTGGGTTGTACTTTCATGGGAGGTGCTACAGTGGGCTGCCAGTGTTGTGTTCATTGGCAAGACACTTCACCCACATTGCCTATTAATAAAGTGGACTGTGTGTGAGTGGTGGTGATCAGAGGGGCCGATGGCGCAAATTGGCAACCTCTCTTCTGTCAGTCTGTCCCAGGGCAGCTGTGCCTCTTAAAGTACCTCACCAGCACAGAGTGAGGAGTAAACGAGTAATGCTCTGTAAAGTGCTTTTGGTGTCATGAAATTAGGGCCGTCGCGGTTAGGGAAGTTCTCCTGCGGTGTTGTATAGCGGCTCAACAGCGCGATATGTGGGGATATCACACTCCCTCCTCCACCCCACATCCCCTGGAGTTATAATATTTCCAGCGGGACTGAAAACTCTCTGATGATGCGGTTGTTGCTTGGTTTTCGTGTGGACATAGCGTGTGTAGTGGGAGAAGTAACATTTGGCTTTGGAACAAGTAACGCTGCATCTCTCCAGCTCTGACTGTGGCAGCTCAGGTCAGAGTCCTGCGCCGGGTCGGGTCAGAGTCCTGCGCCGGGTCGGGTCAGAGTCTTGCACCAGGTCGAGCACGGAGCAGGTGTTCGCAAAGCGTGATCAGGCGATGGCCGCACTTAACTCCGTGCGGCGCGGAGCTCTGTGCCGATCCTTTCGCCTCCGGTCACCAGATGGTCTACGTGGATGCACCTTAGTCCTGGGTTAGTCTTGGATTAGTCTTGGATTAGTCTTGGGTTAGTCCTGGGTTAGTCCTGGGTTAGTCTTGGATTAGTCCTGGATTAGTCCTGGGTTAGTCCTGGGTTCGTCCTGGGTTAGTCCTGGGTTATCGCGGGCACGGGCGGTAACAGGTGGAATGTTAACGGGTCCGGGCGGGTGCAGGTCTCTAAACATGGACCCGTGCAGGACTCTGGGTCGGGTCACGTTGGTCACGTGCGGTGATCGCGATGGGCCTCTTAGTACCGCGGTGATTCATTTTTGCGGTTATTGCGACAGCCCTACGTGAAAGGCGCTATAGGAACGCAATGATTAATTTTATTTACTTGATGGGCACGATTCGGTTCCATCAAATCTGGCTCAAATTCGCTTTCTATTGAAACATGTGTACCTGCTGCTGCCTGACTCCTCTTTCTGACATTAAAATAACCTACTCTATGTGATCCTGGAGTTTTTATTTCAGTTTTATCTGTAAATCAAGTCATGAACATTAATAACAGACTGAAACTTATTACACATTTAATATATTTAGTAAGTATTTTTAGTGAATATAACATTTTCACAATAATAAAAAGGTAACATGATGACCTAATTATGTAATGTGTTAGTAGTTAATACCCCATAGAAGTAAAATACCCCCTCTTTAATTTATATTTTTAACTTAACTTTTAATTTGGCTCATGATTTCCTTCTCACTTTTCTCTGTTTTGTAGGTAATCTTCTGTTGCGTGGGGACCGGCCTCACGTCTTCCTGCTCGGGCACAGCCACGGCACAGACTGGGTGGAGTACGATGCCCAGGGCTGGCTCTGTCACGCCAAACACAACCCGGCGGCTCAGAACGCTGCCTCTCTGCTGCAGGACTCCCAGAAGTAAGACCCATGAATGAAGTCTGTGGTTCTGTTATATGGTGCTATTTTAGAGAACCATTCAAAAGATAGAATATTTTGTTCTAGATTTTCATAGTTCTGACACCCATGGATCACACATGTTTGAGTAACTCTTTATTATTAGTCTGGCTGCGTCTCCAAAGCTCAAAATGCTCACTTCCACTTTGCGATGACATGTATTGGTAGTTTTCAAGCTCCTGATATTTACCATTCTAGGGCTGAAATCATCAAAATTTTTTAAGTTTATAGACACAGTGGCGCACTTAATGTATTACTTCATGACATCAAAAGGTGGAAGAGAGTGTTTTTCCTTTAAGAACAAAAAGAACTTCAGCCTAAATGTACAGGATTTGTGTGTTAAACGTGTGAATGAAACAAAACACAGCTCCAGCCCTGTTTGTGATGAGGAAAAACATTATAACATAGATCAGAAAATAGTGTAATATGGGCCCTTTAAAAATCTATAAAAACTATAAGACGCACCGGATTATAATACGCAATAAGCAAAACAAACGGATGACATTTGAGACTGATCCTTGGCCCGGCGTTGCCTCCCTCTCTTGGTGAATGTGGATTATGAGTATGAATGTGGGTGGATCTTTTGTTTTTTTATTTCCTGCAAGGACAACTCAAATATACACTGAGTAATAATGTGTTTAATGCAGCTTTGTGCAAATTTTTTTACGTTTACAGAAAGAAAACTTAAAACCACATGGCTAATTTGCATAAACTATAAGCACAGAAAAAAATATCTCGGTCCTGATGCAGTCAGCTTCTGTCAGACTCCGTGAGGATCCTGACTAGAGTAGTCGTAATGCTCCGACAATCCATCAAGAGGTGCGGCTGCGTAGATTACAAAAGTCGTACTAAAATATTTAGACAGATTTTTGAGCGCCGTGTACCACATAAAATCGGTTCTAGGTCAGTAAACACAACCAGAATTAACACATAAAGTGCACCGGATTATAAGGTGCATTAAGTGAAACAACACTTGAGACTGATCCTTAGTCCAGGCGTCCACGATCCATCGGCAGATTGTAGCGTAATTCGCTTGGCGTTGCCTCCGTGTCTTGGTGAATGTGTATTATGAATGTGAATGTGGGTGGACAGTTTGTTTGTTTTTTTTATTTCCTACGAGGACGACTCAAAATATAAATTGAGTAATAATGTGTTTAATGCAGCTTTGCGCACATTTGTTAATTAATGCTAATTTGCATGAATTATAAAAGTTGAAAAAATTGCGTTTTTGACAGATTTTTGAGCGCTGTGTACCACATAAAATCAGTTCGAGGTCAGTAAGTACAACCAGCATTAATACATAAGGCGGACTGACTATTTTTGAGAAAACTGAAGGATATTAAGTGTGCCTTATAGTCCCAAAATTACGGTATTTTTTTAAACCTGTCAAAGTTGTTACTAAGAGCCAGTAGCCGGTTATGTTTTTTCGATTTTGTATCAAAAAGATATATTTTAATACAGCTAAAATGTCTTTCATACTATATTAATTATTGTTCTGGTCAAGTGTAATCTCTACAAATGTATAGAAGTTAAAGGGTATGCTGTGTATAATAATAAGAACTCTGTACCAGGTGCTCAGTTTGTTGACGTTTTTAAGAAGTTACTAAAGAAAGAAGGAGAAGGTCTTGGTTAAACCCACCTGTCACTTTTGAGCCTGACAGAGCCTAACAAATAGGAGGGGAGAATAGGAAAGTGTCTGTTAGAGCATAGAGCTGTATTAGATTATAGTACGGTTTCACCCAAATAGAACATGGAGGCAGAGATGAGATCATGATTTGATGTTTAGCTCTGTATCACCCGTCGATCTCGCTCCTCTGTGCAGGAAGAACATCAGCGGTTTGTTCATGAGCAGAGCCAGCGGGGCCACGGTCCTGTCCGGGTCCATCGCGGGTCTGGAGGGCAGCTCTCAGCTCGCTCTGCGCCGCGCCACCAGCATGAGGAAGACCTTCACCACCGGAGTCGCTGCCGTGAAGAAGAAGAGTCTGTGCATCCAGATCAAACTGCAAGTGGTGAGAGCTGGGACCTGAGGGGACGGGAGATTAAATATATCAACTCTTTGTGTATAGTTTGAATGTAGTTGAATTACACAATTTTATAATTTATTTGAAACTAAAATATGTTTAAGATCAATTTAAATATTTACAAGTGCACTGAAATTTAAAAATGTCTTACATAATGGAAATTTGTCGAGATCAAATAATCATTGCGTAAGTCGTCTATTATTATTACTGCTATAGTTTTAGTCCAGGAGTGTCAAACTCATTTTGGTCCAGGGGCCATAACCAACCTACTTTGATCCCAAAGGGGCCGGGAAAAAAAAAAGGCATATATACCCCAAAAAAAGCAATAAGTTCAAATATAAGTTCAAATATTATATATAAGTTCAGAGAAACAGAAATCTATTACAGAAATATTTTTTTAATTGATGAACTTTTACAAAATATTATAAAATATTACAAACAACTTGAAACTTTAAGAAAAATGCAATTTCAACACAATGTTTTAACATTTAACTAAATAGGAATAAGTCAATTTTTCTTGGAAAATCCTGGTCTCGGCTCCACTTTTCTCATGTTGGACATTTTTCTGATGAGGGTGTCACGGTCAACAGTCAAAACGATCGTCCTTTAAGAGCGTTTGGAAAGAGACAAGTCTTCATTTGTGCTGCTCTGGTGGGAGGGGCCACGTACAGAGACGCTGGAGACGCTGCTGTGATAAACACCACAGAAAATTAACAATATTTTAATAGAAAATATAATTAAAATATTTTAGTAGAAAATCAGCTGAGGGCCAGATTAAAGGTCTTGGAGGGCCGGATCCAGCCCCTGGACCGTATGTTTGACACCTCTGATTTAGACTGTGAATACTACAGATAATTTGATTTAATACTATAGAACAGAGGTGACAAACCTACTTGGCCAATCAGGATAGGGCTTTTTTCTTCATGTTAGATTTAATATGTTTTCCTCTGAAGCACTTGTGGTTCTCCATCTCTCTCCCTCTCTCTCCTACTGGAGGCTACAAGCAAAACATGACCCAATTAAAAGTAAAACTAAGTTGCTGGTTTTGTTCAATTTAATAAAATCATAAAATAGATTCAGATTAATACTGAAGGTAATAACAATATTGCATCCAAAATACTTCTGAATACGAACAGTTGCATTAAAATTTTCCTGGGGAGGACTAGAGATCTAGCCTGATTCATCAGACGGTTTCACTTCGTAGAAACCGTCTGACCTCGCAGCATTAGGATTTGTTTGCTCGACGGTAGGCGAGTACGTTTTTTTATTTTAAAAATTGCTGTTATTTGGTTGTGATGTATGTAATGCTCCGCTAATGGGGCTGACTGGATATTAAGCTTTTCCCAAATCCCGCAGGAAGAAGGACAATAACGTCTTTCCCCTTGATAAAAAATTCATAAAACATGCGGTCTCTCTTCCCCTTGGCTTTTCCCTGGTGTCCAAAGTCGCACTTTTGGGATTCTTGCAAACCGTCTGTTTATTCCAATTCCTGACCTAGTCGCTGGAGAGAAATTAAATTGCACTAGATGGTTTTACTGAGTCTCTACCCCTGTAAGAATGAGAGTCTCTCCTCAATAGCCACAGATTAATCAGCTGAAATTTTCTTTCATATTTCTTTCCCAGGATGCTCTGATCGACATGGTGCGTCGCTCTAAAGTTCACTTCGTCCACTGCCTCCTGCCCAAGTCTGAGGCGGTGACCGGTTCCTCTGACCCCCGAGTGACCCACGGAGAGAGCCCCGACGCTGGGCTCATGACGCTGGACGTGGGCCTCCTCCGCGCTCAGCTCCGCGGCTCCAAGCTGCTGGACGCTCTGCGCATCTACAGACAAGGTAACAGCTTTAATAACATTTGTGATTCGTTTAGTTAGTTTAGTTAAGGTTTGTTTTTCACATTTTTTTAAACAGTAAAAATCAGGTACAGCACCTTTTTAATTGTTGAAAATTATACTAAAATTATTCATCTTGATGTTAGCAAATTCAAGCCATGATTTTTTTTTTATATTTTGTCCAAAAACCAGTCACAAAACTACCAAAAACACCAGTGTAGAGCCCACTTCATAACTGTATTCTTATTCAGAGGACAGAAACGTTCAGTCCTCCTTTTTTAGTTTAACCTTCTGTACTGAGTCTCCATATTAAACCTCATTATCAGTCCATTCTCAGAGGAGAACATTCGTCTACCAGATTCTGTACATCTTTCAAATAGTTCAAGTAAAACATTTAAATTGCCTCTGCTGAACAATGTTATTTTTTAAGAAAGTAACTTAAAGACGGGGTGTTATGCAAAATCAATGTTTATTTTTTAGTTTTACTTTTTTGCCGTGTTATAAGGTTGTTCCCTCACCAAAAACATTCCCTCCATGCATAAAAAAATTGGCCAATTTAAGTCCTTGAATCAAGTATTAAAATGTCACATATATTAATTAATATTATGAACTGAAAAATGTGAAAATCATGTGTCCTTACTGGTAGAGTGCTCATCCTCTGATCTGAAGGTTGGTGGTTCGAATCCTACTCTTGACATAAACATTATTGATCGAGTGGTCAGACTGCTCCAACAAATGAATACTGCCACTGTGTCCTTGGGCAAGACTCTTAAAGGTCCTATGTTACATATCTTGTGAGTTATAGGCCATGGTAGAACATTATTACCTCCTCAAAAACAGACCTGGAGTTGTGTTTTGTTTCAGTCACACTTGTTTGAGCGACACTTTATTAGTTTGTCTACATCTCCAAAGCTCAAAATGCTGGTCCCACCTTGTGTCGTAATAACAGGACAGCCACAGGGTCTTAAAAGTCTTTAAAAGGTCTTAAATTTCATGTTCATAAGGCCTTAAACAGTCTTAAATTATGTTGTTGAAGTCTTATTTTTTTCACAAATGTCTTAATTTTCATTAGCCCATTTTTTTGTTCACTCAACCGGGCTGCAGTGTGATGTTAAATGAAGGGAGCAAGAAAAAAACAACAAAAATGTGAAATCACAAAACGTGAATGAACGTCTAATTTGGAGTATGCACAAACAATACTTAGTTTGTCTGTTAGAATGTTATAAATGTTTTTTGGACATTTTACAAGCAGTGTATACGACTATAAATGAGTCTGAATGAGATTTTATCATAAAAGTATTTTTTGTTATTTAAAGCAGTGAGTAATGATCATTTCTGGAATTGGATCTGGTGTTTTTTTGCCCACATAATGGGTGTGATGTTGGTCTTAAATTTCATTTAAGTGGTCTTAAGAAGGTCTTAAAAAAGTCTTAAATTTGGGGTAGTCAAACCTGGGGATACCCTGAATAAAGCGGTAGTTTTCAAGTAAACAGCTCCTGTTACTTAGTTTAGTAGAGAGAGATCGGCAATTCCCGGATTTAAATAATCCAAATTATTCAAGTGAACGTGTATGGAGTTTAAAACCACTGTGGAGCAGGGATTTGTGCAGGATTTGTGTGTTAAACGTGTGTGAATGAAACAAAACACAACTCCAGGTCTGTTTGCGAAGAGGGAACTAAAGTTCAAAGTTCAAAGTTAGATTTATTGTCACTTTCTTCACATGTACTGGACATACAAAGGAACTGAAATTACGTTCCTTTTTATCCCATGTGTAGACAAGACAGGACAAACATTTACATGCACAGACACAACAAATATCATCATCTCTAACGCTACAGCAGTCGTGTAGTGGGGATTTTTAGGTGGAGCTACGTGATTCATGATGTCATCAATGTGATGACCATACAGAACATAAAGCATAGGCTACAGCACATGAACCAGGTCTAAACCAGGTCTAAACCAGAACTGAACCAGAACTGAACCAGGTCTAAACCAAGTCTAAAACAGGTCTGAAACAGGTCTAAAATAGGACTAAACCAGGACTAAACCAAGACTAAACCAGATCTAAACCAGGACTAAAACAGGACTGAACCAGGATCCTCGGAGCAGGGCATCTGCAAAGCGAGATCGGGCGACGGCTGTGCTTAGCCCCGTGGGGTGCGAAGATCTGTGCAGGTCCATTTTCCTGCGATCACCAGACACGCGGGCGCACCTCCGGGCCCGTCCCGACACTCAGTCCTGGTTCAGTTCTGGTTTAGTCCTGGTTCAGTCCTGGGATCAGTTCTGGTCCCCTCATGTCACAGGTCACTATAGGACAGTAGTGCAGATTTAATGAGCCTGTGCAGTTTGTTTTCACCCTTGCCAAAGCTCTGGTTTAACATTTAAGTTGTAGGATTTTTTTATATTTGTTATTTTTTAATATCTCACGTTGGGAGAAGCGGGTGGACTCTACCCCCGTATACCACGCCCACTACACCCCTGCACTACAGTAACCATAAATATAAACTAAAAACACTAGTTATTATTAAAACATAGATGAAATAATAGTGTAGTATGAGCCCTTTAACCCTCCTCACCCTCGTGTCTGTGCTCACCGCTGTATGAATGTGTGTGTGTGAATGTGTGAGCGGCTCCTTGATCTAAACCCCTTTGAGCGCCTTGATGGTAGAAAAGCACTTTATAAAAATTTCACTTGACAAAACCTGTAGAATTTCCGCGTTATTTCCAGCAGACGTTTCCTCTGTGCCTCTCACCCTCCACAAAAGCCTGTAATATGATTCATTCACACCTGTCAGAGCTGTGTTTCATCCCACCGTTTGGTTTTTGAAGTTTTTTTTTCCGGCTCTGACCTTCTCTTTCTCCTCTGCGCGCCCTCCTCTTCGCAGGATACCCCGACCACATGGTGTTCTCCGAGTTTAGGCGCCGCTTTGATGTCCTGGCGCCGCACCTCACCAAAAAACACGGCCGCCACTACATCGTGACGGACGAGAAGAGGGTGAGTGTTAAAATAAACCAAAAAAAAAAAAAAAATGAGGGTCACAAGTGTTTTTATGGATGTTGGATGAGGATTGTGTAACTTTTCTGGTGGGCAAATGCTTTTCTCCATGGAGATGTTTCTGTTTTTTCTGGAATGTTCCACAGTTTGACATTAAACAGCTTTACTTTACATTTATTCTAGGGATGCACTGATACAGATCGGCCCGATACTTCCTTAAAATACTCTTACTCATACTCGTTAAACGTTTGTCGATACCACACGCCGATACTACTATTACACGACACTTTACGCAGTATCCCAGTTTCAGTATCTCAAATATATTCTGGGATTTTCCGATAGTAACCGGGATACTGTGGCATGTACGCGCAGTATCCAGAATACGGCAACATAAAGTTGAGTGCGCACGTGTCCAAAAGACAAACAAACATGTCTGCGGCAAGTTCTCCTTCCTTCTCCTTATCGCTGACCTCTGAGAAATGCTTCATGAGGTCGACTATAAGGACCAAGGAGGAGGAAGGAGAAGTGAGGAGAAGAGCGAACGTTGCTTTAGATGGATCCGGATTCTCCGAACCAGCAGCAGGAACTACAGTCAGAACTACAACTCCCAGGAAAAGGAAAAAGCGCGTTTAATCCTCATAAGACTCGCTGAACCAGGAGTAAAACAGGACTAAAACCAGGACTAAAACAGGACTAAAACCAGGACTAAAACAGGGCTAAAACAGGACTAAAACCAGGACTAAAACCAGGACTAAAACCAGGACTAAAACAGGACTAAAACCAGGACTAAAAACAGGACTAAAAACCAGGACTAAAACCAGGACTAAAACAGGACTAAAACCAGGACTAAAACGGGACAAAACCAGGACTAAAACGGGACAAAAACAGGACTAAAACAGGAATAAAATAGGAATAAAATAGGACTAAATCAGGACTAAATCAGGACTAAAACAGGACAAAACCAGGACTAAAACAGGACTAAAACAGGACTAAAACAGGACTAAAACAGGACTAAACCAGGACTAAAACAGGACAAAACCAGAACTAAAACAGGACAAAACCAGAACTAAAACAGGACAAAACCAGGACTAAAACAGGGATAAAATAGGACTAAACCATGACTGAACAGGTCTAAACCAGCTCTAAACCAGAATTGAACCAGGACTAAACCAGGTCTCAGTCCCGGTCACAGTCTCGGTCTGGATCCGGTCTCAGTCCCGGTCTGGTCCCAGTCTGGTCCTGGTTTCCTGATCACCCGAAAGTCTACGCGGGCGCACATCCAGGCCAGTCCCGACACTTCTGGTTCAGTTCTGGTACAGTTCTGGTACAGTTCTGGTTTAGTCCTGGTTTAGGACTGAGACCGGGACTGAGACCGGGACTGAGACCGGGACTGAGACCGGGACTGAGACCGGGACTGAGACCGGGACTGAGACCGGGACTGAGACCGGTTTAGTCCTGTTTTCAGTCCTGGTTCAGTCTTGGTTCAGTCCTGGTTGAGTCCTGGTTTAGGACTGAGACCAGGACCGGACCAGGACCAGAACTGGGAGTGAGACCTGGAGTGACACTAGGACTGAGACCACTTTAGACCTGGTTCAGCCCTGCTTTAGTCCTATTTTAGTCCTATTTTAGTCCTGGCTCAGTCCAGGCTCAGTCCAGGCTCAGTCCAGGCTCAGTCCTGGCTCAGTCCTGGCTCAGTCCTGGCTCAGTCCAGGCTCAGTCCAGGCTCAGTCCAGGCTCAGTCCAGGCTCAGTCCTGGCTCAGTCCTGGCTCAGTCCTGGCTCAGTCCTGGCTCAGTCCTAGTTCAGTCCTGGCTCAGTCCTGGCTCAGTCCTGGCTCAGTCCTGGCTCAGTCCTGGCTCAGTCCTGGCTCAGTCCTGGTTCAGTCCTGGTTCAGTCCTGGTTCAGTCCAGGCTCAGTCCAGGCTCAGACCTGGTTCAGACCTGGTTCAGTCCGGCATCGCAGTTTAAGTCACGGAAACAGGAAACGACCGTTACCCATTTTTTCCATTTTTCATTTAAACACAAATCGTTATATATTTATTCATTTTGGTTTTAGAGACAAATAATGAAGAAAACTGTTGTTTTTTTGTTTTCTTATTTTTGGTTTTACATTGAAAAACAAATAAACGAATGACACACGAATTGGATATCGTTACATCCCTATGAAACAGCTCTACTTTACATTTATCCAATTACGTGTGGTTTTACAGCTCAAAAACAAACATTCTGACTGTAAATGGAGTCGCATCTCCACAGATCTTGGTCTGGCTTTGTCTCCATGGAGATAGAAAGGTTTAAAGCCATACTGTGAAACATTCCAGACAAAGCAATAACATTTACATGGAGAAAAGCGTTTGACCAGCACAACCTCCACCAGAAAAGTTAAATTATATCCATTTGGACTTTAAACTAATGTAATTTTGTGGAATAGTTTTTGTTTTAAGAAAAATCTAATCCGAAACTTTTAATTGCCACATTTAAATCAGTATTTTCGTACTGCGGGAAGCCAGATTGTGCTCGGAAACGTGGGGAAAAATCAGGTTCAGTGCCTTTAAACCGCTGCAGCTTTTGTGTTTAAACCTTTTGCGTCTCACCTTTTTTTGACGGCTGTGAATAATAGCGCCCCCTCCTGTTTAAACGGTCTTATCTTTGTGCAGGTTTAATTAGCTGTGCCCTCATTTAGAGATGTCCAAACCTCTCCAAAAATAACTGGCTGCTGTGAACCGTTCTTATATTTTTACCGCATTTCTTTCTAATCACCCAGGTACCTCTCCTCTGGGCTGTCTCCTTCTGTATTAATTATGAAGCCAGCGCAAGGCCTTTGTAACAATTAATTACCGTCGCTAGGAGTAACGCCTTTTTTTAGGTCGTTAACTGGATTTTACAGCTAGCGCCTCATTATTTTGAAGCTTTTGTGTTTTGGTCGCAGTTTTAAAACCTTCCCCCGAGGCTTAATAATTGTCCTCGTGAGTATAGAGGTTGATCAAAGATGTGCGAGAGGGGGCGTGAGCACAAAAATAGGCTTTCCAGATGGGAGTAAGTTAACATTTTCTCATTGCAGCGACTGTCCAAATAACTGGAATTTAAAAGTGCAGTTCCCCGAGTCGCACAGTGAGGGAATTCTGGCGAAAACATTAAGATAACTACTGTATTTTTTTGGACTATACGTCCCTCCGGAGCATAAGTTGCAACTACAGCGTTCTGTTAAGTTATGTTATTAGGTTCTTTTTTTCAGACCTAGAGTGTTATTTCATACCTGACAGTTTCGACTGCTCACTAGCGTCTTCCTCAGACTCACGTGATGTTGCTGTGTCGTGTCCGGTCAGCTGATTTAAACAGGTTTTGGCGCTGCTTTCCTACCGGTGGAGGCAGGACGACAGCGCCACCTGCAGTCCGACTTCCTCAGGACAGCATCCCAGGTGTGTGAGAGTAAAAAAGCCCCCTCGTCCCGGTTTACAGTCCTGTGGGCACGTTTCCGTATTTCGATTGCTTCTTTAATCCAGCGGCGATGTTTGTTTTCCTCTGTCCCAATGATGTTTGCTCCGTCCCAATCCATAACGTGGTTCTCTCTTTTGCAATGGTCAGAAACGGCCGATTTGAGTTGTTCCTGTTCTGCTTTGTGTTTTGTTGCTCGTGTTTCGCCTTCACTGTTTCCTTCTCGCATTCTGTTCTATGTTCCTTTTTTCGTGTACTGAACGCCCTCCCTGTTTCTCCGATGTATTTTATTGCAGGACATGCAGGGTATTTCGTATATTACATTACATTTATGCTCCGGTTCTATTTTGTCTTTCGGGTGGACGAGTATTTGTCTGAGTTTTCTGTACGGTTTCACTGGTGTGTTGATATTGTGTAAACATCGCCGCTGGATTAAAGAAGCAATCGAAATACGGAAACGTGCCCACAGGACTGTAAACCGGGACGAGGGGGCTTTTTTACTCTCACACACCTGGGATGCTGTCCTGAGGAAGTCGGACTGCAGGTGGCGCTGTCGTCCTGCCTCCACCGGTAGGAAAGCAGCGCCAAAACCTGTTTAAATCAGCTGACCGGACACGACACAGCAACATCACGTGAGTCTGAGGAAGACGCTAGTGAGCAGTCGAAACTGTCAGGTATGAAATAACACTCTAGGTCTGAAAAAAAGAAACTAATAACATAGAATATCGGAAGACCAAATGAATCTCATTGGACTGTTCTGTTAAGTTCTCACTAGGCTGCGATCATTATTTCCGAACGTCTGCGCCTTTTGTTTAAAAGAGACGACAATAAATGCACTGACAAAATTTTGAATGTTAAAAAACTATAATACCAAACCATAAACGGTTATATTTAGCCTTAAAAGTATGTTCAATTTTATACATGCTGTAAAGTCATGGAAAATTCACTTTAGGTCATGAAAAAGTCGTGGAAAAGAGTGCGAACCCTGAATTAAGAAACTCAAACTTGAGAAGAAAGTGGTGGTAAAAACGTGGGTCGATCGGCAAAACGGCATCTTGAAAATAAATGATTACAGATTAGTCAAACATTCTTTTAATTTAAAACAAGGACAGTGCACAGAAAACATTAATCCCGGAGACAAAAGATGCTCTACGTCAGATTTAGCCACAAGCTTCTTTCCGTTTTCATGCACAGATCAATCCAGATACAACTTCAAGACGGTAAATGAGAAGGAAAATCACTATTACATGGTTAAAAAACACTAGGTCCGCTTTACAATCAAACCTATTTCTTACCAAAATCGAGTGTGAGATTTGAATATCCTGACAACACTGTTACGAATTATCTCTCAACATCATTGCGCTTTACTTCATGTCGCCTACATCTCTTCTAAATCTTTTCTTCCGCCTGCTTCCCGCTGACAGGAGAGAGCCGGAGTGAGGCTGTAACTAGGAGCTATAATTGGAGAAATAATACAACCCATCTCACTTTGACAGTCCAGATTCATCCCAGAGTCTCTCCGTGTCCCTACCCAACGATATGAGACCGCCTTGGCACTTCACAGATGGTTTTAGCTGCCAGAAGACTTTAAAACACCCCCCGCCCCGTCTCTCCTGTCTATGTATATATGTCCCCGAAGACCAGAATCACCATTTTAATGTCCTACAGCGAGGAGGCAGTGCAGTTTGTCAGGTGCAAAGTGAAGTGAAAGTTACACAGAGAGAGGAGGCACTGTCAAACTTTTTCACAGCGAGTTTTACCGATGGAAATTAAGAGTTACAAGACGGGGAAATAGCAGTCGCGGCAAAACGGAACGAAGCTGGGACTGAGCTGGGGACGAAAATGGAATAAGAAGTCGCGAACAAACTGGAGTTCTCGGGATACTGAATTTTCAAACTTGATTTCGATACAAAAATAGTGTTGTTCCTCTTTTTTTTGCGATCTGATGGTCTTGTTGAACTCGCCGATACCGATACCAGTCCGATACTAACTGTAACTGTACACAAAAAGTCACGGTTTGGTTCTTTCAGTTCAGTATGGGAAACCGTTTGTGTGTTTATTAAATCAACAATTTGTTTTAACGTTATACAACAAGGAAAAATAAAATAAATGCAAAGTGCTGCTTGGTAATTTTGTATGAATGAACATTTTGTATGTGGAGCCATCAAAGCAAAACCCCGATCCCTCGCTCCACCTCGGTTACGAATTTAAAAAGTCAACGCCAAAGCGAAAGGCTCCAGCTGTTCGCCAAGAAACACCTTCCACTGCAAAGAGACCAAGACGTGATGTTGCTGTAAAACCACAAGAACAAGAAAGTGCAGCTCAGTCTGTTTGTCTTCTGCACCTCTCACTTTATAGGCGAGTTTCATTGTTGACAAAAGCGCGCGTTGCATGCTGGGAATTATTTTGGTCAGCGGCAAGAAACACTAATTCAACATGACGGACAGAGCGAGAAATCACGTAAAGCAGGAGTGTCAAACTCCTTTTGGTCCGGGGGCCGTATCCAACCTACTTTGATCCCAAAGGGGCTGGATCAGAAAACTCATGTCATATAAACCCCAAAAATAACAATAAGTTCAAATATTTGTGCAGAAAAACACAAATCTATTACAGAATTTTTTTTAAATTGATGAACTCTTTCTTTTTCAAAATATTATAATATTATGAACAACCTGAAACTTTAAGAAAAATACAATTTCAACACAAAGTTTTAACATGAACTTGTGTGTAAATAGAAATAAGTCAATTTTTCTTGGAAAATCCTGCACTCAGCTCCAGTTTTCTCATGTTGGACATTTTTCTGATGAGGGTCACGGTCAACAGTCAAAACGATCGTCCTTTAAGAGCGTTTGGAAAGAGACAAGTCTTCATTTGTGCTGCTCTGGTGGGAGGGGCCACGTACAGAGACGCTGGAGACGCTGCTGTGATAAACACCACAGAAAATTAACAAGATTTTAACAGAAAATATAATTAAAATATTGTAGTAGAAAATCAGCCGAGGGCCAGATTAAAGGTTTTGGAGGGCCGGATCTGGCCCCCAGGCCTTATGTTTGACACCTGTGACGTAAAGGGTATTGATCCCGGTTATTTATCCACTCTAACGGCAGAGGACCAAAGACCATTTGACCAGAAATTGGTCATAAGCATCGATGGAGCCAAATCACCCTTTTCATCCCCTACAAAAGGTGGACCAAACCAAATTTCTGGTCAGAATCGCCAACTACCTGGACAAATATTCACTTGGGCGATATCCACAATGACTTGGTGGAAACTCCTGGGCCATTCACAGCAGAAAAGATGAAAACCTCCAAGAGTCTCGATGTGTTGTTGAACTTGTTGGAGTCCACGGTTTGTTAGGATCTTCTACGTTTGCTCTGCGGATGTTTGAAAGTCATTTAATTCACCGTTAGCGGTTCTTTTCACTCAGAATACGAAAAAGACATTTTCCTTCTTCCGTGCTTCTATTTGTGCATCCGATAATGCAGCAGGAATTTACCATTATCAGGGATAAATACGCGAGGTTACGCACTGTGTTTGACGCTATCGTGTTTCTTGCCTTCGACCAAAATATTTCCCAGCATGCAACGCGGGCTTTTAATAACAATGACGTCAGCTGAAACTCGCCTATAAACAGGATCCCGCATGGATGGAGCTCCACATACAAAATGTTCGCTGCAATCTCAGGATGATTTAGACAGCCAAATGTTTCCCTTTTTCATCCTTCCTGTGGATCAATCCTGCCCGTCTCCTTCACCTTTCACTATTTTTCAATTCCGTTGCGAAGAGAAACAGTTTGAACGGAGGTTTGCAGTCACACACATCTGATTCCCTTTTGCATTTATGGAGTTCGCAAACAAATTTCTCGAGCTGTTTTCCGCTGTTAGGATCCAATAACCACACAATTAACGATGTCTGAATCCCAAAACTAAAATATGACAATATCAGAACCAGAAACAAAAGCGATACGGTTCAAAAGACTTGAAAAGATCGGCTTTGTCAATAGACGCATCCCACTGGGAAAACAAACATGATGCTTTTAATGCTCACTTTTTCGGAAAATCCTTCCCAGAATGCATCGCGCGATGACCGGAAGTCCAAGATTCTTGATGCGTCGATACGTGAACTGTTATACTCCTAATACTCAGGCTACTTAACATAAAAGAGCAAAAAATAAATCTTCTAAAAGTCTATTTTTAAAGAAATACAACAATAAATAAGTGCTGATTTAAGCAGATTTAAGCTCTTTCATTTTTTACCACAGTGTGAATAAAAACAACAGTGAGGCCTGTAAAAAGACGCTCATCCTCCAAGCACACGGCAAATTATGCAGAGTAAACAAAAGTCTGAGTTAGTCGCTATTGCTTATTGTTGTCGCTGTTGTCGGGCTGCGCTCTCTCTGTTATTTTACCAAGCTGAGCGTCCACACTAAAGGCTAAATGGAAGTAGTAAAGAGTTCACAAAAATGTCTTTCTGTCATTATCAGCGTGTCTGCAGAGCCTCCACAGTGTGTATTTAAAACTCGGAACATCCTGAGTGTTAAATACAAGTTGTTCAAAGTGCACTCGGAGCAAGCGGGCTTTCCTGCTTTTCAATACGCATTTATATTTATTTTAAACTTGAAAATCCGGCCTCAACCTTCTGAGGATTCATTGTAAAGACGCAGAAACATGTTTTTGCCCTTCAAAATAAAAGCCCTTGTCTCGAAAGCATTGATTTAAACAGGCACCGTAACAGCCCACTAGAGTCCTCTCCTCTCTTACATGTTCAGCCTTGAGTTGTCGTGTCCTTGCTCCTGTCTGCTCCTGTCTGCACCTGTCTGCTCGAGTGCTGTTGACGATACAAAAAAAAAAAATTAATAAAGTTTCCAACTCGCTCAATAACAACTCTGATACCACAGTGATACTAAAAAAACTTTCTTTAAATAATAGAGTGTGATTTTCAGCATTAAATCATAACACTTTCTTTTCTGTGTAGTACTTGTTTTATTTTATTTATCTGAATTGTGAATTTTAATCGAGTTTTCTTTGTGTTTTCAGGCCGTGGAGGAGCTGCTGGAGTCTCTGGACCTGGAGAAGAGCACGTACCACATGGGCCTGAGTCGAGTGAGTGCAGCGTTCATTTAAAAACTCAACCGAGCCTTTGAGCAAGACACAAAATGGGCCGTTTGATTTGTGTTTCGCGTGACAAATTTAAAGCTACCGTTAAAGTAGTTTATTTGATTTGTTTTGTGAAACCTGTTCCCCGTTTGCAATGTGAAAACAAATGACAGAATTATACACAACATTTAATTATAATAATGCATTAGTCTTGTACTGCGCTTTTACAGACTCTTAAATTCACTTTACAGTTTGTTGCATTACTCATTCACAAAACACACTGTGGTGGTGAGCTGTTATTGTAGCCACAGTTGCCCTGGGGCAGAGTAATGGAAGCGAGGCTGCCAATCTGCACAGCAGGCCCCTCTGACGACCACCAACACTCACACACACACCACTTTCCACCACTTTCATACTAGGCAAGGTGGATGAAATGTCTTGCCTAAGGACACAACCACAGTTTTGTTTGACACTGGCGCCCCCCTGTGGTGCCTGGTACAGCCTCCTGTCCAAATACTAAAAAGTCTTGGCCCTGCTTAGCCTCAGAGATCTGTCGAGATCAGGCTTTTACAAAACGGTTTGGCGGCAAGGAAACACTGGAGGTGGCAAGATGTTTTAATGCCACACTGTGGAATTTTATATTCAGAATAACAGTTCCATGGAATTAAGCAGGAGGCTCTACTTCTGGCCAAGTAAGAGTCAGGTTTGTGGAGATGCAAGGCTCACAGTAGAACACATGTTTCTCAGAATAATGAAAACATACAAACAGTACAACGGTAGAATGTATGTACAGGGTTCTCACAGTCATGGAAATTGGAAGTCATGGAATTTTGTACCGTATATCCTTTAATTTTCTCAGAAATCATTGTGATCACAGTACGCCTTATAATCCAGTGCACCGTATGTATTCATTCTGGTTGTGCTTACTATCTTCGAAATGATTTCATGTGGTACATGGTTCTCAAAAATCAGTCAAAATGTTTTAGTACGACTTTGGTAAACTACGAAGCTGCACCGCTTGATGGATTGTTGGAGCATTACAGTTACTGTCGTCAGAACCCTCGTGGAGTATAGCCCGATTTATGGTCCTTAGTCCGACAGAAGCTGAACCACATCAGCGCACAAGAGCAAACAGCGCTCATAGTTTTTGCCAGTGAACCATGTGGTTTTAAGTTTTGTTTCTGTAAAACATAAACAAATGTGAGCAAAGCTGCATTAAACACATTATTACTCAATGTATATTTGTGTCGTCTTCGTAGGAAATAAAAAAATAAAAAAATTATGAGCCACCCACATTCAACATTCATAATCCACATTCACCAAGACAGGGAGGCGACGCCGGGTGAATTATACCAAGATCTGCTGATGGATCGTGGACATCTGGGTTAAGGATCAGTCTCAAATGTCGTCCGTTTGTTTCACTTAATGCTCCTTATAATCCAGTGCACTTTATGTATGAAAATAGATAAGAGAATTCAACATTATTGATATTGCGCCTTATAATTTGCCTTATAGTCAGAAAAATACGGTAAATTAAATGAAAGTCATGGAATTTTAGTATCTCTTTCAAGCAATTACAGTGTTCTTTTAAATTCTATTATGATTATTTCCGAACGTCTGCGCCTTTTGTTTAAAAGAGACGACAATAAATGCACTGACAGTATTTTGAATGTTAAAAAAACTATAAAACCAAACTATAAGGTGAGTGGAAAGGGTTAACATTTCATATTTAGCCCTAAAAGTCTGATCAATTCTACACATGTAAGGTGCCGTAAAGTCATGAAAAATTCACTTTAGGTCATGAAAAATGGAAAAGTTTTGATATTTTGCCAGTGAAAAAGAGTGGGAGCCCGAGTTTTTCCACTCAGAGATACAATTTTCGAAGCGTACCATTTCTAATTTCTATAACCTTGTGTCAGAAGCCGGACCCTCCCTCCACATTTAAGTGCAGGAGACAAACCCGGCCTAATCTTGTGGGTGTGAAAGGGCATCCTGATGGTTTTCTTAATGAGATCTGTGAATGTCTCTGGAATAAAGAGCAGACGCCGCCTTGAGCTGTCAATTAGCCAGAGTTTCAGTTTAACCTTGTTTCTCATTCATTTTATATTACGGCTAATCGAGCTTATTGGATTTTATATTTGCCAAAGCAGAGGACACACAGAGGCTTCCTACGCAGACGCAGCCCACACACCAAACACGCCGGGCTCTGCGGAGTCTGAAATTATATAAGGTGAAGTTTGAGTTTTGAATAAAACATAAAGAAGACAAAAATTTAAATATGTGAAAGAAATTTAATGATATTTATAAAATCATTTAGTTAAAAGGCTTGTACCTGATTTTTCTCCAGGTATTTGAGCCCTTGAGCCGTTGTGTGTTGTCTGCGTCTAATTAGAAAGCGTTTGTCCGATAATCAGGAAGTGCTTGTTAGCATGCTAGTCGTTTTTTAGCTGTACTATGAAGGCAAAATGCTTATAAATTCATTGTCGTGAATAATTCGGTAAAAATTCACTCTTTTTATTGATTATAGAACTGGTTTGGCCCTACTGGATTTTAAATTGGGTTTGTTTAGGCGACATTTATTGTTATTCTGCCTCTTTACTGTCATATTTAAAGACAGTAGGTCGGCCTAATGGCATTTTTGCATCACATTCTAGCCAGTAAAAAAAAGTAAATAAAAAGTAAACTACTCTGTCAGCCTTTAGCAGTAAATGTAGCTCTAAAACCGACACATTTGCAACTCATCGCTCACACAGACACCTCTCAGATCACAAGTCTTCACAAATAAGTGTCCTTTAATTCTGACTCAAAACAATTGTCTGTAAAAAGAATATAATCCAGCATGTTGCAGTTACTGAGTGTGTCCTCTGTCTGTGGGACACTCCTCTCTTCTCCACACTCAAACAAAGTAGTTTTGTTTCTGGCCTAAACTGCACTAGTCAGGCTGATGCCCCTAGTGCCTCCGCTCAATTTCATTTCCCTCCAGCGACTAGATCAGGAATCAGAATACACTAGACGGTTCGCAAAAACCCAAGAAGTGCAAGTTCGGGCACCAGCCAATCAGCAAAGAGCCATACATTCTGTGTTGGCAACGATTCCCGAGATCGAGGATTTAAAGCCGGAACACAGAAAATGTTTGGTGAATTTTATCAAGGGGAAAGACGTTATTGTCCGTCTTCCTGCGGGATTTGGGAAAAGCTTAGTATACCAGTTAGCCCCGTTAATGACACATTACATACGTCACGACCAAATAGCAGCAATTGGTTACATAAAAAACGTACCTGTCTACCATCAAGCGGACAAATTCTAATGCTGCGAGGTCGGACGGTTTCTACGAAGTGAAACTGGCTGATGAATGAGGCTAAAAGTGCGCTGATGTTCGTTTTTATTTATCGTCAGTATCGTGGATCAGACACGTGGATCTATGGCTGTCCAGCGCCACATATTAGGACATTTATCTGTTTGTAAATTGGATTAAATAGACATAATATAGAGAGTCTAAGCTTTATAACAAGGCCCACGTGGACTATCGGCCCGTATCGGCAAGATTTAGGCCGATAACCGATATGTCTCCAAGTGCCCAACCTATATATCGGTCGAGCCCTATTTTGAACCACTGTAAATGTTTTAAAACGGTAAAAATCAGGTACAGCGGCTTTAAATGTTCTTGCTTTGCCTGGAATGTTCCGTAGTGGGACATTAAACATACGTATTTATCTTGCATTTATTCAGTGGCAGTTTCTATTCCTGAAAATACCTCGGAGAAACATGTATTCTTACTGTGAACGGGGTCGTCTCTCCACAGATCTGACCTCTTACTCGATCGTTATGGAGGTGGGTAGGTGTTAATGCTGTAAATTCTCCGTGGAGACAAGCAGGCGCCGGAAAAGTTACACAGTCCAGCTTTAAATAGTCTGTCTGTCACTTCTGTAGCTCCGCTTGCCCCTCGTCCTCTCCTCAGAGACTCTCCACCGTGGTCCGTCTCTGAGAACCTATGATGTATGAATGTGTCCTGCATCTCTCCTCCTCCTCTCTTTCTCCTCTTTTTCTCTCCCTCCTTCTCTCTCCTGTCTGTTCTCGTCTCCTCTCTTTCCTCTCATTCTCTTCTTTCTCTCTCCATCTCTCTCTACCCTCTCTCTCTGTCCTCTGTTCTCGCTCTGTCTCTCCCCCTCTCCTCTCCCTCTTATCCCACCTGTCTGTCTCCCTCCCTCCCTCTTTCCCTCTCTCCCTCTCTCCCCTGCCTATCTTCTGTCTCTCTCCCTCTCTTCTTTCATCCCCTCTCACCCCCTCACTCTCCTCTCTCCCCCCTTCCTTTCCTCCTTCTCTCCCCTTCCTCTTCGCTGTCTCTCCCTCCCTGTCTCCCTTCCTCTCCCTCCCTCTCTCTCTTTCTCCTTTCCCCCCTTCCTCTCTCCCTCTCTCCTCCTTTCCTTTCCTTCTTCTCTCCTCTTCCTCGCTCCTCTCTCTCTCCTCCTCTCCCTCCCTCCGTCCCTCCTTCTCTCTCCTCTCCCTCCCTCTCTTTCCTCTCCTCCCTCCCTCCCTTTCTCTCCTCTTCCTCTCCTCTGTCGCTCCTTGTCTCTCTCTTCCTTTCCCCTGTCTCTCCCTCCCTCTCTCCTCTGTCTCTCTCTCCTCTCTCCCTCTCCTCTCCCTCTCTCCTCCCTTTCTTTCCTCCTTCTCTCCTCTTCCTCTCTCCTCTCCTTTCTCCCTCTCTCCTCTGTCGCTCCCTCTCTCTCCTCTTTCTCTCTCCCTCGTTCTTCTTCTTCTCTGGTTGTGAGTAATGTTTCCCAGAGGGTTTGTTCAGTTCAGGGACAGACTCTGGGGAGGAGAGTTTAGCCCTGGTTAAAGTCACAGAGAAACAGAGCCACAGACCTGAGAGCCACAGACCTGAGAGCCACAGACCTGAGAGCACAGACCTGAGAGCCACAGACCTGAGAGACAGACTGAGAGCCACAGACCTGAGCCACAGACCTGAGCCACAGACCTGAGAGCACAGACCTGAGCCCCACAGACCT